CTTTTATAAGTTTTAGCGGAGCATTGTATGTAATTCCATTTTCTCTCCTTTCTTGTCATACCAGTTATTTATTCTTCTTTATAAATGATAGACCTAGAGTTTGCAATATTCTTTTACAACTATCCATTGCTACTTTCAGACAGCACTGTACTGCTTCACAGATCACATGAGGCTATAACAGTGGGAGAACCCTTTCTCCTGCCTCACATGAAGCATCACTGCTGTCATTCATTTCACTTACAGACAAACACACCAAACAGATTCATATGTTATATCCATAAACACATATAAACAAATGATATATATTTATCATTAGCACTATTTGGAGTGGGAGCACTGGGGATTTACCTTAGTTACTTTTCTCATTGCTGAGAACAAATACACAACACTCAAAGTTAAAGGTTTATTTAGCTCATAGTTTATAGAGGTTTCTGTTCATAGTTGGCTGCATTCAGGGCAGGGTGACAGAGGGGCATTGCAGAGGAGAAATAGTTCGTGGTGGGCAGAAGGCAGCGTAATAGTGAAGAAGCAAAGCAGCAAGTGACAAGCATCCATCCTCTTTCGGTCCCATATATTCTATCCAGACCTCCCATGCCCAGGACAGGTAGCACTCACGGGTAACACTGAACACTTCACAACCAGGGAAGGTAGCTTTAATCCTAGTATCTCAACATGAATCAATCCCAGAATCATCCTTGGTCCCAGAAGCACACAATATAGATCCAGCCACCTCTGAAAAGTCCCTTTTATGATCACATGAGGCTTTAGGGGGACACCCAAACACAAGCCATAACATTTCAATCCCAGCCGGCCAAAGACTCATACACATCACTTTATACAAAAAGGCATTTAGTCCTTCTATAAGAGTTGCCAAAGTCCTAACAGTTTCAGCACTTTTCAGCTGAAAAGTCCAAATGCAAAGTCTCTGAGATTTAAGGCAAACTCTTAGCTGTGAGTCCCTGTACAAATGCAAACAAAGTTAAACAGTTCAGTATACAATGGCACAAGATAAACAGTATCATTCCAAAAGGTACAAATAGGGAGATACAATGGAATGAGAACCAAGCAAGACAAAAAATCCAGCGGTACAAACATTAAGCCCCATAGTTTTGTCCAGCATTCCCAGAAGTCTGGCAAAATATGAACTCCAAAGGGCTTTGGTGGCTCCACCCCTACGGCATCGTGGGTGGTTGTAGCTTCCATGGCTTCTTGCTGGGGCAGGCTTTACTTCTTCTTTGAAGTTTTCCTCAGGTGACCCATGTTCTTGGCCTCTCCAAACCTTTGGGATCTCAAATGCACCTACAGCTGAACACTTACTGCTTTACACACTGCCTTCTCAGGGGCACACCGCCTGGCCTGCCCGGCCTTCTTCTGAAATCTGGGTGGAAGCCTTTCTGACTCCACAACTCTTGCATTCAGCATGCACTTAAAACTAGCAGCACGTGGCAATGCCAGTATCTGCTGCCAGCTGGAGTAGTAGCCAGGCTTCCATCTCTCTTGGCTTTGGGGGTCTGGTGCCTATGAAGTAAATCCCAAGGAAGAACCTCCTTAGGTTGCTGCCATTCTGGAACATGGTGCTCTTGGGACCCTCTTCTCAAAGCAAAGTCTTTGACTTTTACAATTTTAAGACTAAAGGGTGGGCCCTGGTAGTTCAGGTTCTGTATTGTCCTGTTCCTTCTCAGCATCCAAGGTCTCCTCTGCTCTATCTTTGCAATCTACAACTTTACTGGAGCTTCCTTTCTGGTCAAACTCAAAATATTTTAAATCTGCTGGGTTTTTTGCTCTGGCTAAAAGCCCTCAACAGTACCCATGCCACTGCCTCAACATTAGACTGTCTTGAAATTTCTTCTGTAAGATTAGTCTGCAGCCCATAATCTTGGTGTCAGGCAGATATTCTAGACATGAGCAAAATGCAGATACGGTTTCTTCCAAAGCATAACACCCATGGTCTGGAGTCCAACATCCTGTGCTGTCCTTCCTGAGCCTGGTCTTTACCTGCAGCATTCTGACCTTCTGAGCTCTGATCAGAATCTCCTGTGAAGTACAGTTTAAGGCATTTCAGGGATGCTGCTTTACTGCATCCCTAGACCTTTCATAACTCTTCCCAAAGGCCTCTACCACAAGGTCAGGGATGTTACAGGAACGATCCCTCTTCTCTGGTACCAAATTCTGCTTTAGTTACTTTTCTTCTCGCCGAGACAAAATGGCTGACACCCAGAGTTAAAGAAGAAAGGTTTATTTCGGCTCACAGATTGTAGAGGTTTCAGTCTGTAATAAAGTGGCTCCAAGGCAGAGTGGCCTCAGAAGCAGTTTATGACAAACAAAGGCAACAGAAGCAGCAAGTGACAAGTGACCAGCATCACACATCCTAATCCAGCCACCCCTGAAAAGCCCCACCATGACACATGAGGCTTTGGGGGACATCTAGATATAAGCCATAATGAATTGAAACCAGGGTTTTACTCTGAGCTACAGCCCAGCCCATGTTTTTTTTTTTTTTTTTTTAAATTTCAAAATAGGATCTTAGTCACTACATTGCCCGGGCTGTACTGGAACTTGAGTTCCTTCTGCCTCAGCCTCCCAGAGTGCTGGCATGGCAGGCTTGTATCATTGCACCTGGTTCACTTACTTGCTAAATTAAGAACAAGGAAAAGTTTTTATGTTCCAGTCCATTACTCTGTTTCTTCCTATTTTATAAACATCTGAGTTCCTTCTCTTTATTATCTTCCTTCTCTCCAAAGACCTTAACATTTCTTAAATCTTCTGGCAACAAGTCCCAAATTGAGATGCATTTTTTCCTTTGGCTTCTTGGGGAATTTTGTTAGTGGTAGTGTGTCCTCTGGAAATGATTTGCCCATGTGCAGGGCTGTTTTTATTAATCCTGCTTGAGTCTGTGCTCTGAGCTTTCTGGAGCTGTGGTTTGGTCACCTGAGAGTAACCTGGGAGATTGCTGGTCATCGCTGGCTCAGGTGTTTTTTCTCTTCTGCGGTTCCTCTTTTTTATATTCCCTTGATGTACACTCTGTACCTTCAGGGTTGTCCTTCAGTCTGTGCTGTCGTTTCAGTCTTTATTCTTCGCTGGTTTGGGAGGTTTCCACTCAGCCCAGAGGTCCTTTCCTGGGCTGTGCCCAGGCTCCTGGTCAGCCCGTTGGAGACATTTTTCATGTGCTGCAGTGTTTTCCACATCTGACTTCTCTTTGTGGTTTCCTTGAGAATTTCCTTTTTCTGCTTACCACACCTGTTAGCTAGCATAAACACTTCATCCATTAGAGTCTTTAGCGTAGGGGAGCTGTTGTAAATTCCTGGCCTGGTAAGTCTGATGTCCCTGCCGTGTCTGGTTCTGTTGTTTGCTCTATCCAAATTGAGTTCTTAGTCTTTTTTTTATAATGGAGAGGGCTGGGGGTGAGGATAGAGGCATGGTCTCGGCATGCAGGCAGGCTGGCCTTGAACTCACTGTATAGCGCAGGCTGGCCTCAAACTCATGCTAGGCCCCCTGCTCAGCCTCCCAAGTGCACCACTGTGCCCATTGGTCTTGGTCTTGTAAAACGTGCTTTCATTCTTGCCTCCCAGTGACACAGCGTCCTTGGTGGATAAGGGAACGCTCACGTCGGTCTCTGGTCCTGTGTTGCTAAGGTGTGGTGAGGGGGCTGTGTGGTGAGCCTGTGCCCAGGAGCTGGGGCTAAAATGGGATGTGGTGCTTCTTTTCCTAGGTCAGCTGGCCTCTGACGGTACTCAGGTAGTTGAGAGAGGACTTCCTTCTGGGGAACAGAGTGCTCTGGCCTGTTTAGATAGATCCCTTCCCCTTGAGACTACTAGAACCTTGAGAGCGTTTTCCTCAGTGTTCACCATGAGAACTTGGCTGAGCTCCTGTGGTAAGACAGCTTGAGGTGCCCCCGAAGCTGTTAGGCTCCATTCTGCCCAGGTGAGCTGGGCTCCGTGTGGTCTGCTGCCGCCCGCCAGCTTCGGGGCTTGCTCCGGGTCCTCACCTCCCTGAGGGATGCAAGAAGAGGTGAAGGTGTATCAGTTAGTTTGGCTTTTGATTTGTTTGTTAGGACAAGGGATGACTTCTACCCCCTACACCAGGGATGGCAAACCTGTGGCACGCGGGTTATCCTTTCTCTTTTAGACGAAAGGTTTGGATGTATTTCTTCTCTAAACTAAAACCTCAGTATTCAGGTTTAATGGCAGTGTTGGGCTTTGTAATAAATATGTGGGTTCTGAGTTGCAGCTTGGCGCTCTGTGTCTAAAAGGTTCTCCATCCTGTCCTCAGTAGTCATGGCACTGGGAACCAGAGCAGTATCTGTCTCAGTGTTTAAAGGTACTGATGTCCATCTGTGCACAGCCATAGCTTCTCCCATGTGTTTTGTTTTTCTCTTTGTTTCTTTGAGACAGGGTCTTGCTGTGTAGTTCAAGGTTATGAACCACGGTGATCCTTCTGCCTCAGCCTCCCAAGTGCTAGGATTACAGGACCGCACCACGGTGCCTTCTCTTAGGTTTTAGTGTGTTGTGTTTCCGTTTCCTTTATCTCAGCAGATTTTCCTGACGCCATGTGATTTGTTTGACCTTTTGGTTACTCAAGAGTGAATTTCCCAGGTTTTCCTCTTACTGTTTTACAATTTGTTCCATGTGGTGGGATGCCAAACCCTGTGTAGTGTACGTCATTGGCATTGATTGAGGCTCGCTTTGTGCAGCTGTGCCCCGCCTGTGGGGGGTGCCCATATGCACGCATGAAGAATAGGAGCTTTTCTCACGCTGCATTTTCTTACGGACATTTGTTTGCTCTGGGTTACTGCATTGTGCACGTCTCACATCTTCTCTGTTTTTTCCCTGGTTATTTGTGTATATTCTGAGTTCTTTCCAGGAGGCCTGGTGTGACCCCGAGCCCTCTGACTCGCACCCATGCCGAGGCACAGTCAGGGCAGACCCCTGCTTCCTCCCTTTTCAGGGGCCCTGTTGTGCGGTCTGTTGCACAGGCCTCATGCGTCCTGTCCTCTGTTTCAGCTCCAGACTCCCAGCGAGTCTCAGCCCAGACTGCAGGGGGCAGGCTTGCCACAGGCTACAGTGCCACAGGCCAAGGGACCTGTGTCCCCCAAAGACAAGCCCCAGACACCTGCCCCCCACGCTAAGGGGGTTTTGGATTTGAAGGGACAAGGTAAGAAAGATAAGCGAAGCCTGCAATTTCTTTCACATGCTCTCCAGCATGGAGTGGAGCTGTGTGCTGTACCCATGCACATCCTGGGAGGTCATGTGTGCATCCCGGGATGCAGGGAGCTCAGCAGTGGGGCACCAGGAGGGCCCTGAAGCCTGTTCACATTCCTGTCAGTGGGAACAAAGGTGACCTGTCCCAGATAGACAGTGCCTGCCTCCGCTTGGAGGTCACTGAGATTACTTTCTTCTTTTTCTTGAACTCACACCTTACACTTGCCTGGCAGGCACTTGTACCACTGAGCTAAACCCCCGGCCCCAGATTTCTTTCCTAAGTTGCTTCTCACTTCCTCACTGTAAGGATGAGCTGCCACATACAAGCCTGTGCTCTATTGCTGTTATTACAAAATAAGGCCCTCTGCGGTTCCCACGTGCAGGCCAGCTCCTCCCCACCCCTTGGAAGCACCCTAGGAATCGGGTGGCACAGGTACTTTTTAACCAGAGTGATGTCAGCATGGTCCCAGCTAACCACGTTCTGTGCAGAGGAAACCAACGAGATCCAGGGCATGAGTGAAGAGGCCCGGAGAGCCGGGGATGAACAGCCCAGGGAGCCTGGCCGAGGTCAGGATGCAGAGGACACTGCTGCGGCTGGCAGAGCCCTTGAGGGAGCTGGAGAAGTTGGCCGCACTTCACAGGTGCTGGCCGTCCTGTCGTTGAGCCCAGAAAACCAGGAGCCAGAAGAACCAGAGCGGGACCAGTTCGTTATCCGTGAAGGGCAGGAGGAGCCCGCTGCTGCTGAGGAAGGTGGGTGCGGGCCCTCTGCCACCCCGGCCTGCTGCCTGCGTGGGTTTCAGCAGATGCTGCCTCGCAGTCTGCTCTCTCCCTCTGAGAGAGGGAGAATGTATACAGAGGGCAGTGTATACCGAGCCCTTGAGGTTTCAGAAGCGGCATTCACGCAGTCTCTGGGACCCTGAGGGCACAGGATCCTGAGGGGAGTGCTTGGTGGGCTGCTCCGCCTGGCCCTGCCCTTGCAGTCCCAGCCCTCTGATTGCTGCTGCTGCTGCTGCTGTGGGGCACACCAGTGAGCACTGCAGGTGGAGGGGAGGAGGGATAGGGGCTGGGGGTCAGTGTGCATGTGAGCATGGAGGGAGTGAGACATACGAGTCCCATCTTTTTAATGTTTGTTTGTTTTTCTTTTCTTTCTTTCTTTCTTTTTTTTTTTTTTTGTGGAACCGGGCATCGAACTCAGGACCTTGCACTTGCCAGGCACTTATGCTGCTGAGCTAAATCCCCAGCCTGTTTCTTTCTTTTTAAAGAAAGAGTGGAAATATGAGATCAACAAAATATTCTGGAACATATTTCCAGGCCTTAAAGATGTAGAAATTTCCATTCTACCCAAGCCAACAGTGCTTAGGGGGACATGACTGACACTTGTCCTGTGATGGGCAGGACACGTAACTCAGGGTACGTGTCCATTTGTGGAAGGCATCCCAATCTGGTTTCCATCTTATTTCCACTGTTTCTCCTCTTAGAAGAAGGCTCCTTACTGCTCACAGTGGGAGGACTGGGGCCACGCCTGGAGCACTGGTGCCCAGTGCCAGATGGACATCGAAGGCTGCCTGGGGAGCCAGGGCCCCAAGAGCCCTGAGTGCCAGTCCGCAGGGACTGCCTTACACAGGCCTGCAGCAGACTTCCCCATCTTTCTCTTCGAATGCCTTTGCTTACGTTTCTGTATTTGTGTGTAAAGTGTTTGCACCCTGGGAATGGAACTCATGAATGCGTTTTGTCCCAATCTTCTTTTTTGGTTGCTCTTCCTCTGGGGATGAAAGCAACAGGGCTGTTCCTTACATAGGGCTGCTCTGTTCTCTTGCTCACAGTCGAGACTCTATTCTGAAGAGTGCTTTCCTTATCTCCAGCCTAGGTTGGGCCTTTTGGGCACGAGATGTGGCCCGGCTAGTCCTGACTCCTGGTTCTGTGTGATCTCCTGCTCAGCCTCCCATAGCTGCCAGAATTACAGACAGGACCACAGCCTTCTGTCCCTTTTGTGGGGTAGGAGTTGCTGAGGATTGAACCCGGGCCTCATGCATGCTAGGCAAACACTGTACCCGAGCTGCACCCCAGTCCCCAGGGCCATGCTTTATATAGATTCAATTTCCTCCCGGAGTAATGAAGTTAGATGACTGTGGGTCAACCCCAGCACCTGGACATGGATGTCACTGTGACACCAGAAGAGAAATGATGTAGCTTATACTCTAATTTCACAGGAGGAAACCAGCAGAAAACAGGAGACGATGACAGCTATAACATGGATGAAAATGAGGCGGAATCTGAGACAGACAAGCAGGAAGCCCTTGCTGGGAGTGACAGAAACTTAAATGGTACTGGCAGCATGGTGGCAGGGGGCTTTCCCTTGATCTAATTAGTTAACAGTCATTTCAAGGAGAGTGTTTGGTTTAGCTTTTGAGAGTAAAAGTTGTGGGGTTAGGTGAGGGGTGGAGAGTTTGCTTTCAGTGACATTTAGAGCTTTTCTTGCAGAATGGCTGGGTCGTCCCCTGATCAGTCTACCTCTATAGCCCCTGGTGAAGCTAGCTTCCCTACGAAAGCTGTCAGCATCTCTTTGAATAATGCTTCCTGAATGCTGAACTCAGGCACTATACTAGAGCTACATCCCCTTTTAATTGTTTTGAGTCTGTCCTGCTGTGTAGCCCAGTCTGATCTTAAACTTGTGATTCTCCTGCCTCGGCCTCCCAAAAGATAGGATTATAGGCTTGGTACCATGTCTGGCTTGATCACCTCCTAAATTCAGATTATCTTCTGATACTATTCTTCTCTATACTTTTTCCATATTTTCTGTTTCTGCCTGAGATGGAGTCAGTACTTCCTCAAAAACAAAGCCTTCAGTTTGCAAATCTTTCCTTCCAGACTGCCTGCCACATTTGCTTCCCCACATGAGGTGATTACTGTCCCTGCAGTGTCCCTCTAACACCTTCTCTCCTTGTGTGGTTTCTAGCTGTGAGCCCCTAGTGTGCCTGGAAGCCGCTGATGTGAGTATAGTAGAGTCCAGCAGCAAGCAGCTTCCGCAGACTCACAGCCTCTGTAGAGGAAATGCTCGTTTGCTGCTCAGATTCCGGTCCTGTGAATTTTTCCAAAGCTGCAGTCCCAGAGTGGCTGGAAACTGTCCGTCTGCACCCAGCTTCCCTGCTCACCTATCTGTGTCCCAAGCTTCTGTGCTATTACCTCAAGGTTGCAGCTTTCTGTGCTGCTCCCTGCTCACTCCCCACCTTGGTGGGAGCCCCACATCAGGAGAGCGAGAGGGGAGAAGTTTAGCATCTTCAGGCTTCTGCAGAAATCCTCAGAGTCAAAGTTGGCTTTGATGCTTAATGCTTACCTGCAGGAGCTGATGACTTTCATTACTATTATGAGCAATGCATTAGTTTTAATATTAATTTTGCTAAATTTAACTTACCATTTTCTAGGAATTTCCATATACCCTTTATCTAGGTTCCTCAAATGTTACCACCTTAATATGTATCACTGTAGTACTTTTTTCTAAATGAATTCTCTCAGATCTGGGCCGTGCCTGCCGAATCCCCCTTCTTTGTCTGGGACTGCCTTCTCTGCGTTGCACCTCTTTCACATCCCTTAATCCTGAGCCATTCTGTACTATCTCTCCTCCTCGATCAACTTGGTCATTTCGGGATAGTGACCCTGTTGGATTTGTCTGATTCAACAGTGTGTTCTTGAGAATGTATTTTGTACTTATGTAGGATGTCAGAGTTGCTTAGTTTCTCGAAATTAAAGTCCTCTTGTGGCTTTTAAGTTGTATACGTGGACTACCTAAGCAGTTCTTTTCAAAGTAAAGGGTACCCAATTTCTGGGAGGTTGAGCATCTCCTTTCTGCTCCTCGAGTACCACTGACTCCCCCAGTCACCACCCATGCCATCTGGAAGCAGGTTCCATCATCTCTGCTCTGGCTTGGCCATCCTATACTGTGGCCCAGGGGCCTGCTACACCCTTGGCTTTGCAGTGAAGCCTCCATCTTTGTATAGTTCCCTTTTTTGTTCTTGACGTAGGGTCTTGCCGTGTAGTCTGGGCTGGCCTAGAGCTCACTGTGTAGTCCAGGCCGGCCTTGGACTTGTGGCAATCCTCCGGCCTCAGCCTCCTGAGTGCTGGGATTACAAGGTGAGTACCACCATGCCGGACCCAAAGCCTTGCTCTTCATCTCCTCCTCTCAGGTGCCCTCCCGAGGGACTGACTGCAGAGGCGGCAGGGAAAGGCAAAGACCCTGTCAGCTCGTTTAAGATAGTTTTAAGGTGAGGAAATGTCATCAGCAACAGCTTCACCATTATTAAGGCCTTATTTGCTTCAGGGAAGTAAGATGAAAAGGGCACTGATTTTGTGATAAGACACTAATAACTATAAGTCATTTAATTAAATCATTAACTTTTTATCATTCAGTAGTTATACTGGGTTCGGCTTTTGGGACGTGTCTTTTACATCCTGTGTGAAGGCAATTTGTACACCTCTAGCATGCACTAGGACAACGGCTCGGCAGGTCTCTTATGTCCTGTTTTAAACAGTTACCACATTTTTGGGTATCTGAGCTTTTGCTAAATTTGTGTTGCTATGAGTAATACAGTCCTTTATATGAATTTCCAGAAACTCAGGAAATATGGGACCTGCTTAGGCTGGTTTCTCAAAGTACTTAATATTGGAATACTATACGGCTTTTTTTCCTTTTTAGTTTTTAACGCTGAGAAGAGACACATCATAAATTTATTTGATCAACGTGCAAGGCGGAATCATACACTCTGAATCAAAGTGGTATTGTGTACTTCATGTCGGGATTGAACAGATCGCTGCAAACCATTTATGAGTGACCGAGTTCCCAAAGCTGTGAAAATGTACACCTCAAGATGATTGTATGGGGTTAGTGTGTATTTCATGTATGAAAACTGGGACCGTCTCAGCAAACTGGGACACTTTTTCGGGGCACTTTTTGTCTGTCATAGGATGCCAGTTGGTCAAGCTTTTTTGGTAATGGGTATTTCATGAGACAGTCATAAATAGAATTCTCTTCCAATATGGTAGCAGTGGAGCTTCTTTATTCCAGAATATGTGTTTAAAAGAAAAAAAAAAAAGCTTGTAGGAGCCACCTGACAGGAAGCAGGCGGGCTGTGCAGCTCTGTCTGGCTGGGTTCCTGTACACTCCTGGTTCTGACCATCCCAGCCTGGAACACTGTGGACAGCAGCAGCAGCAGCAGCAGTTTAAACAAACCTGAATACAGAGCTATTGGTTGTTTTAAAAAGACTACTTGTGCATCAAGCCTCGTTGTTCTTGATGTATAAACACTACTGATCTGTAATTGGAACATTTGTGGTCTATCCTTACTTTGCTTACTTTTTGTATGTGTGGGCAGAACAAAACCATTAAGTACATGTACATTACCAAGAGGAGCAATGACTGAACTAGACTTCTGACAACAGGGGCCGAAACAGCTGGCCTCAGTCCCCCCACAGCAGGACAGGCCCCTGGCTCCTGCCAGAGTACAAGAACAAAGCTGCTTGAGGCTGAAGGATCTATAGTGTTACAAAATGGGGATGTCCATAAAGGCAAGAGAAATGCTGTGCTGTTTATCCTTGCACACTTAGCTCTGATAAATGACTCGGGAAATTGATTTAAAAATCAAAGGTGTTAATTTTGAAACACTGAATCACAGCCCAGTGACAATGACCATTAGGTTTGACTTGATCCTTCATACTGATGGTAAACAGGCTCTTATCACTTAGAGTCACACTGATGACTTTCAGGGAAGTGGTATGGGACAGTAGGAAGGGCCACAGGGATTATCTGGCTAGCACCCTCTTTTCCAAAGTGGATAATGGGGCCCAGAAAGCCAGGCGCATCTAGCTGCAGGGTCTACAGAGATAGGCCTTTGTGTGTGTGTGTGTGTTCATGTGATCGACTTCTTTAGCTTGTCCACATGAAAAGGCAACTGAAGAAAATACGGAAGTATCTAAGTAGGTTTTTGTCCCAGTTCTTTTTCACTCTCCCTTTGTGCCCTCAGTCTTAGGGCTGACATGAATTCTAAAGTTTTCTCAGTTGAAGTATTCACCTCATGTTTAATATGAGAAATAAAGTACTCTGTTCAACTTTTAAAAGTTTTTAGTTATTTTCCCTTTATAGCCTGAGATTCCTAGTCACCATTGCGGATAAAAACTGGTTTGCCTTAGATGGTTTGTGGGATGAGAGAGGGTATCAGTATAAATAAAAGTTAGCTATGCTGCTAACACAGCCTTTAAAAAGGTGCTGAAGCCTTGAGGAGAGTTCAGGTGAAAGCTTGAGCTTTACTCACTTGTCTCTCAAAAGACAGAGCAGGATGACAGTGGTGGGACCTCCAGAGTAATCATCCATGTGTGCCTGTGTCAGGAAGGAAACATTCACTTCCGTGTGTGTGTGGAGGGGGGGGGTGGGCGGGGCAATCCAACTCAAGGCTTTGTACACAACAGACAACCAGAAAACACCAGCATATTATAGCTCATTCTCTAAAACCGCTGCTGGTCGCATTTGAGTATCACTTCCTAGAGTAGTCCTGTGAACTCACCCAGTCTGCAGTCGCATTTCCTCCTGTAAAGAACCATCTTAACAATCTTGCTCTGATGATGTGAGAGGGCCTTGTTTCAAGTTATTTCAGAAGTTAACAGAGGCCATGTCTGTGCTTAAACAAAAGCACCGCACTGTCCTGGAATGTTAACTAATGTTTGAATTTTAAACAAGTTACAGGTACTGCTTCTAGTTCATAGAAGGGCTGCACTAATAACTACATCTTCCACCAATACCTGACTTTTTAAAATGGAAGACAGTGCAGAGGAATGAACTCTGATATACCAACTTGAATTTAGACACCTACTGCATGTATCAAACTGACCCATCTTCATCAGATTCTACTTTGCCAGACCTCCAGAAACCTTGTTCTTACCACAGGGTTACTCTTCTCCCAGATTCCCAAGCTCCTAAGGACTTTGTTTTAGCTTGTTTCCACCTACCATTGCTCACTGCCATTAGGACACGTGTTTACATTTTTTAAAACATCCACATGCCCCAGAGTGAGCAGGTGCTCCTGACTCACCACTTACTAGATAAAGTCCTCACAAGATGAAGTCCTTTTCCTCAAGTTTATACTATGATCTGGAAGACAAGATAGTTCTAGGTGTGTTTAGGAGGCACGGCCCTCCCTGAAGCATGACCTTCCCTGGGATGGGGCACTTCGGATGAAATGCCAAGGATGCCAGCAAAGTGGCCACAGTGGGGAGGCAATGTGGCTGTAGCGTGAGAAGCCAGAGGCAGAGGGGGCCTCTCTAGGGCTCCTGGTTGGCCAGGTCTACTGTGCGCAGGTTCACATCACGCTCCTTCAGCTCCATGCCGGCTCCTCCAATACTTGCATAGGGGTTCATTTACCACCTCCATCGCTTCACTCTGCGTCGTGGGTCTTTGCAGCCTCTGCCCCATGTCAAGAGCGAGCTCTCCATGTTGTCACCAGGAAGCTATACATACCCAGTGCAGTGGGCCCACTTAGGCCATTCTGTTCCTGGCCCTGTCACTATGCATTCTGTTCATTTTCCTCTAAGTCCCCTGCAGGCATTTCCAGTGACTGGAAACAGTCAGGAAAGGAAGAAGGCAAGCAGATTCCTGACACATGTTTCAAAGAAGCTGCTCTGACCAGCATTTATAGTGCTGGCCAGAAAACTATGTGAAAAAGTGAACTGACTACAAACTTACACAGTGGTAGCCCATGCCTGTCTCTTAAGGGGCCTCTCCCTTCCCCAGCCCACTTTTTATAACTGGACCATCTCCAGCATACCTCTTGGGAGCCCTGTCAGGCTTGGCACCATTTCTGTGCAGCTGCACCACCCCACACACAGCTACACCTATGGCCACTCAGTCCTTCATGCATCTCCATCTTGGACCGCAGCACCTGCCATCTTCACCAGGACATCCAAGACAGCACGGAGTTAAAACGATCCTCATAACCTACATAAGCAAAGGGCACCTGATTTGTCCAGTTGCCAAAGCCAAAAAACTGAGCCGATTTCCATATGATAAACCCACCTCCTCATTAACTACTTCCTGTTCCCTGTACTAAACCATCTGATCCCATCCATTTGTCTACCTCCCCTCTTAGCCACAACTGTCACTAAGAACATTGTTACTCACATCCCTGCATCCAGCCCTGCCCTACCTGAGCCAATCATAGGTAAGCAGGTGTGAGTTGAGCCCATCAGTTCCCTCATTGAAGCTTTCAGCACTAGCAGAATGAAATCCAGATCCTTTAGCCTGGCTTCTGGCTCAGCGTCCTTCTATTCCCCCATCTAGCACACCTTGGACAACCAATACCTTCAAACCTTCAGGACTCAGGAAGACGGACTTTCTCTGTACCATTCAGTATGAACTAGTTCTATACTCACGCCTTAGCTTTCTGTTACTATAATGAAATACCTGAGATAATCAACTTAAGAGGAGTGAAGGGTTTCAAATACAGCCCATGGTTGTTTGGCTCTATTGTTCTGGGTTTGCATTCAGTGGAGTATATCATGGCAGGAGTCTGACATGGAGGTCTGTTTACCTTATGGCAGTCAGAAAGTGACAAGAAGGGGTGAGGGTCCCAGGTCCCAACAGCATACCCCCCCAGTGACCCAGCTTCCTCCCAGTAGCACCACCAGCTGGTGGGAAAGCCTTTAAGCACATGGGGACATTTAAGATACAGACCAGTGATGGCAGAATTTTAGAGGCCAGAGCCCAAAACCAACTTATGTATTGTAAAATGCTGACACTGCAGTTATACTTGAATATTGAGGTTTTAGTTTAGAAAACTCATACGGTAACATCTTTTGTCTTGAAAACACGGTGACACTCATGCCATAGGTGTATCTTCCTTTTCTTTTTTTTTGTTTTTGATATCATAAGTGGTAGATGTTTTAAAATGCAAAGAAGCAACTACAGTGACACCTTGGTCGTTGAATTCAATTTGTTCCAAATTCATGTTCAAATATTGAAAAGTTCAAGAAATGAACATATTTTTCCTTAGAAATGGAAAACTAATTGGTTCTGAGGCCCAAAATTACACTTGTAAATTCATCTTCCCAGGACTGTAACACATTTCACAATGATTTCTTTATGGCTCTCAAGAGTTTTTCTCTTAACTTTACTGTTATCAGTAACTTTCTTTGGAGCTATGGTTACCGTATTTTATGAAAATAAAGCACACAAAAAAGGGCACAGTGACAAATATTTTAACATATTAACAAAAGCACTGTTATGTTGTCTGGGTAAGAGCCGCACTCAGACTGAAGTGTCACCCTTTTGTGTCCATGGTGAGAGAGGACACGTTACTCCGCTGAACAGATTTTTTTTTTTCAAATTGGGTTTTCTTCAAACTTTACTGTTTAAGTAGTAGAAACTTTAAGCTTGGAGCTGTCTGATAACTGGGTTGTATCACACTATTTTTCTAGCTAAAAATCTGCTAGAAGAAACAACACTTGAAAAGCTATCAGTAACATACACTAATCTGCTTTTTAGCTGATAACAATTTAACTGCAGCACGCTTTAAGAACCACTTCAAAAAGAAAATGCAGATGTTCTTAATTACATACCACTCTCTTAATTATACACCACTCTTAATTATACACCAGTGACAGTCACCTGCAGCAGGTGATCCAATCAGACACTGCAGCTAAGAAGTGCCACCATAACTGCACTGATCCCTACAGGTGGCTTCTTTCATTTTCTGCTCTGAAGGATATGTACTTTAGATTTCACATCCTGGCCCGAGATGGAGGAATAATTTCTCAGCTTCCTAACTTGCCTCAGGCCTTTCTGGTTACTTCAGAATGTCAGTGTTTTTTGTATTTCTTCTTTGCTGCTTTTGTTTCTCCTATTGCCTATTTCCTATTATTCCTCTACTGTTTTCTGTGTTCTACATTTAGAAAGCGCCAACTACTAACAGTGCTGTTTTCCTTCTCAGCAAATGTGAGCTTTTTTTCTTTTTGTTAGTTCAAGTTTCTGTTGTACAGGCCATTTTTCTCTAAGACTTGTGAAATCTCAGGCTGCCTATGAGAGGGTCCTGGTTAGGACAAGGGTTGCCACTTGGAAAGGAAGCCAGACATTTCATTCATGGAATGGCAGGGTCAGGAACACCCCTACCCTATCATCTTCTTTCACTGTGGGAGGCACAGTCAGGTTAGCTGCTTCAGTTATTTTCAGGAAGAAGTGTGAATACCATGTTTTCAAGAATGATGTCAAGGAGCTAGGGATACAGCTCATTTGCTTAGCATACACAGGTTGGACCCATTATCATCAAAACGAAACAAAAAGGTGGCATATCAGTTAAACCTTATCATAAAAACTGAAAAACTCACTAATCTCAGGCCATACTACAGAAGCCAGCTTAAGCCAGTGTACCTCATTCAAATAGTACTATTCCTTTAGAAAACAAAAACAGAAAGCCCTGAAAACTTGGGACAGCTGCCCCCAAACTTCTGAAGGAGGCACAGGGAGAATGAAGGACAGGGCAGGGCCGCTGGCACTGAGCACTCACAGGGACAGTTGGGGTGAAGCAGTGTTCGAATCAGAGGATAGGAACAGACCCCCCCACCAGAGTACATGTCATGGATTAAAGTGAAGACAAAGGAAAGAAAAAAGATACCACAGTTAAGGCCAGACATCCCCTACCTTTTCTGCATCACCAGTAGACAATGTTCACTCTTTAAAATGTGCCAAAGGTAACAAAAGATTTTTAAAAATCGGTTAGTCTCCTTTTATAGCTCAGAGACCCCCAAAATGCTTTTAAATGTATCTCACCAAAAAAAAAAAAAAAAAAAAAAATCTCACATGACAGTTTAACAAATCCTACGATTTGAAAAACCTTTTGAACAATTTTGTACTACTAAACAAAGAGCAAACAGCTTCAGTTCGTACTATGTTTCAAGTGGTACTGTCTCTCATCTCCAGCAGTACATTTTTTTTGTCAAGAAATTTATTAGCCTTTACAAACACTGTTTTCACTCATTCATAAAAAATGATTTATGATTAAATCTGTAATAAAACCATGTAATGTTCATTAAATCATTCAGTAAGACTGGTTTCATCCACGGAACATAATAAACCACTTTAAAACAGCAGTTTCATTCATGTCATGTAAGGCGGTCAAACTAAAAGTATTCTTTACGTGGGTTGTCACCCCAGAAATTCGTTTCACTTCACGCTGTGTGGTGAGACTGATGGATATATCCTCTAAGAGTGGAATCTGAAAGTAGATTCTATCTCTTTGTGGTCATGTTTTCAGTCTCTTTCAAACAAGTTTCACAACAGGAAAGTATTTGTGAATAGAGAAATCAAATTCGGGAGGAACCTATAAAGAAAATCAGAAAGTCAATATATCTACAAGTAACCATGCAATCAACAGAGTAAGTACTATTTTTAAGTTTTTTTTTTTGTGTGTGTGTTTTCAGAAACAAGGAAACACAGGAGATTTAAAAGTTAATTTAGACAGGCCTTATGGTACTGCCTACAATCCCAGCACAAGAGGCTGAGGGAGGAGGATCACCATGAGTTTGTGGCCAGTCTACATTACACAGTGAGTTGAAAACCAGCCTGGATTACATACATAGTGAGACTCTGTCTCAAAAAACCAAGAACAAAACAAAAAGAAGCAAAACAAACTAACAAAATGGCTGAATGACAAGAAAAAAGCCAGGAACTAACCTGGAGGAAAAAAGCAACTGACTTATTTCAGTTATCAGAAAATACACTCACTATTTTCTACCTCCCAGGGAATAGATAATAATAAAGGAAAATAGACTTACATTATAGAAAGAAACTCAAGTTAAATCAGATGATGGCAAATTTTTAGTTTCCATAGACAATAAAATGAGACTCAGTAAAGGAGGGCAGGACAGAAGCCAGCCAGAAAACAGGAAAAAGCCAACAGGCTGGATATAAGGGGCGCCTCCCAGGCAGCCTCCTCTTCAAGGCACAAGGTAGGACTTGCTTGTTAGCTAACAAGCTGCCGCCATCCCACTGAAACAACCTGACCAAGAAAACCAACACACTCCCATCTTTGAGCCAGTAAAGAAAAAGACTTTGCAGTGTTTTAACTTTTTCTACAATAATTATGTATCTCATTGAAAATATTTTAATAATTTCCCAACAGTGTACTTACCTTTGACTCCTTTTTGTGTCCTCCTGCTAGTAACTTCATAACCACAAAATTGGGTTTGGCGACCTTTAAAATTCTATTGATCTACAACATGAACATTAAATTACCATAACAGAAAACTCAGTCAAATTTTCTTTATATTACAGATACAAGTGGGAATGTGGCATAAAGGAAGTACTGAATTTAATAATAAAGGCACACTAAAATAATAAGCACTTTCTAACAAACAGAAAAGGGCTTTTATGTCTTGCTCTCCTGGACACAGAAGACCTTTAGCTGCTGCATCCTGTGAAGGCAGTGGAGGGCAGTGCTCAGAGCACAGACACCAGGGTCAGGCTGTGCATTTGCAGACTGCAGCTTTGCCAATGACTACCTATGAACTCTCCCAAGTTTCCCAACCCTTCCACTCCTTGCCCCACGAGCTCTGTTGTGAGGACTGTGCTATACAGTGAAGCTCTGGTCAACCACAGGCACACGTGCAACACTTTAACAGTAGTCCCAGAGGACACCCCCACACTGCTTTAGTTTGTGTAAGTGTGGTAGGATGTTCACACAGCAACAGCTTTGCCTACAATGCATTTCTCAACACAGTCTTGTCCTTAAGTGATGTATGACTACAGTAAGAGCTGAAAACTGCCTAGAGGTATTTGTATCCTTTGATTACATGACTTTTGACTAGCACTGATCTAAACAGTTTCCATGGACACAGGAGTAGCAATGGAATGGAATGCTGGCTCTCTCAAGAGACCAATCCAGGAAGTCCCCACTACTGCCCTCTTCAGAATTGCAAGTTCAGGACCAGTTGCTTCTCAACTCCAGGTAGACACTCAGCTGCTTTAAGTAATAACTCCATTATGTGTCTAATGAGGACCTCAAAATTTACTCATCCAAATCTGCCTGGCACCCTGCTCCCCTGCTCCACTGGCAGCCTTGTCTACATGAATCAGTCCATCCAGCTGCGAACACCAAAACCCCTAATGTCCTCCTTGACTCCTCTCTTCTGCTAACATCCCACATCTGATCCACCAGTAGCCCCAAAGGCTGGATCTTAAAACACACAGAAAGAGCAATCACTGTGGATGCCCTCGATTGCCGCACCTCTCACCTGGATCACTGTCACGGTCCCTCCAGAAATGACTCTCTGGACACCACCTCTTATCCTACTACAGTCTATTTTTAGCACAAGGCCAGACTGATCCCTTAAAATCTCCTCTGCTCAACCCCTCCCACAGTGCGCTCGCTTGCTTTCCCATTCCAGTCACACCAGTTCTTCAAATCCTCATAGCTTTGGGAAGATTTGCTTCTTTGACTTCAAAGATTCTCTTAAAAGCTACTGTGTTGACAAATGCCCATGGCTTGGGATTTAGCCAGTGGCAGAACACTTGCATCCATGTGCAGTATCATCACTGAAAAATGTAGCATTTATTTCCAACCATAGTTTGATTTTTTTATCATGTTCTTATAATATATGATATAACTTACTTTACTGCTTATAATTCAGTATCCCCTCCTCATCCCAGCCTATAAGGGTTAAGATTCTAGTCTTAAAAAAAAAAATTCTAGTCTTTATTTTTGATTGGAGTTACAATAGGTGCTCAATAATACATCAAATACATCATTTATTATGGGTACCTCCTTTAAATTCATATTACCACTTCCTTTAGAAGGTGGTCTCACTTCTGTAAGACACTCAGCTCTCTTCCCAAGAAGCAAACAATAATCATGTATCTTTCCACAGATACACTTTCCTCTAAGAAAACACTAGTAGTTTTCTTGGTCCCTTTTTGAACAAAATGGTGGTACACAAAAACACTCTATGGTACTTTCTTTTTAAATTCTGAAGTCCTGAAGAGCATTCCACTATGACGCATAAAGCTCTTTCTCGTCCTGAAGACTACAGCTTTCCACAGGACACACCACGATTCACCTGGCAGACCCCTGCAGAGGAACGTTAACATTTCTCTCACTTTTGCCACTAGAAATCCTGGTGCAATGATATATGTATTCACACTTTCCCTCACCTCCTGTATATGCATATGGATCTACAAGATATGGCCCAAGAAGCAGCACTGCTGAGCATAAGCATCTGTGGTTTTTAACAGATCATGGCACAGTACCCCTCCATGGAAGTAGTTCCCAAGACATATACTTCCCAAAGTATGTGTTATTATTTTTAAGATTTAGATATCTTGGGGCTGCGGATTTAGATCATTGACATAAGCACCTGCCTGGCAAGTGCAAGGTCATGAGTTCAATCCCCAGTACCAAAAAAAAAAAAAAAAAAAAAAAAAAAAAAAAAGATTTAGATATCTCAAACTCTTTGAAACAACAATAGCCTTAAGCAGTCAAGTGGAAAATGTTCTTGTGATAACTGGTCATATTAGTTTTGAAAATTAATATTTAACAAAATTAAATTGGTGGGCTGGGGATTTAGCTCAGCAACATAAGCACCTGCCTTGCAAGTATGCGGTTGTGAGTTTGATCCCAGTACCAAAAATAAATAAATAAAAATTAAATTGGCAAAACTACTGGCAAAAAACATGACAGGTTCTGCTTACTAACACTATAAAGTTGATTAGTATAGTTCTCTTTCATCTCGTAGTAAGGTATGTTTTTTTTTAAACTTTTTATCAGTACCAGGGATTGAACTCACAACTGCCTGCTTGCAAGGCAGGTGCTTATGCCACTGAGCTAGGTCCCCAGCTCCAAGGTATCTGTTTCTTGCCCCCTTAGAATTATAATGAACCCAGTCTTACCTCATGGTCTGGGTTGGGGATATTTTCCAATATCATTTTTGCCTGCTGAAAGTGCTTACTAGCTGCCACGTATAGCTCTGGAGACTGAGGAGGTGGACTGTATTTATTGAGGTCAGACATTTCCTGAAAAGAAAAAGAACATTATTCAAAATATGTCTAATGTGAAAAAACTAAAAAATTTTTTAATTGTTACGAAGTCTATACGATCAATTCATATAAAACATTCAGCCTATATTCCTGTTTTTCCCAATGTAATACTCAATTCTTCATACTTTTATACCACCTCATAATTGCATTACTTAAGTAACTGTTAGTGCAGTTAGGATATGCATCAAAGCAAATAGTTCTCACACTACAGTTGCTACTTTTAACACCTGCCCCAGGTATTCTGACTACATATTTTAACACAGTGATTGGGCACATTAGCACATTTCTAAGAAAGTGTGAGACCAAGGATCATACAGTGGCCTCTGTGTGCAGGTTCACCTTGAACTGTAGGTAGTGCACTGGTGGCGGGGTCATCACACTATTGAAGGGAGCAAACCTGTGCTCATATCGAACTTGTTCACTATCGAGCTCAAACTTGGGTTTGCGTACTTTGCCGTCCATGTCAAATGCTACCATGGTCTAAAAAAAAAAAGGAAATTAAGAAAAAAGGAGAAAAGCAACATAAAAACAGGACCATCATCATTTTAATACAGAACAGAAAGCAAAAACCCAGCTTTGTATGTATAGTTAAAAACAACTGATAGCTCAGCAATCAGAAACAAGAAAAACTGACTTCTTGGTATTCATTTTTATTTCATGTGCTATGCTTTATGCAAAAAAAATTTTCAAGCTCCAGCACTCATTGTATTACTGTGTTGCTACAGGATGCACACACTTTTCTTCCATGCCTCATGCTTTTCAGTAGCTTTGAAACCTTCAAGTAATCGCTTCTGAGGAAGTGACTAGCACATTCAAACAGGTCTTGTTTTTCATCTTTTTTTTTTTTAATTGGTACCAGGGATCGAACTCATGACCCCCTGCTTGCAAGGCAGGTGCTTATGCCACTGAGCTAAATCCCCAGGCCCCAGTTCTTGTTTTTCAAATACCCTTTGACTTTATATATCTTCATGTAATCTGTCCAACTTAATTCTCAGCAGCTGCTGAAAATGCCTACTTTTGTTTATATCGTCTGAAGTGCAGCCCACACCCTTCCTCATATATCAGTAAAAACCCTAATGTACTCCCTTCCACAAAACTTCCTGGTCACCAGTGAGAAACAAGCTCTTCTCTTTTGTTTCTCCATATTTGGCAAATGCCTGTCTGGCACTGACCAGGCCTGTCAAACAAGGACCAATGGACATAGTGTTTGACACAGCAAAGTTTCAAAAGCTTGCTGAAAACACCTAGACTTGAAAAAAGGTAACCTTCAAGTAGGTGGGAAGTAAAGATGAAATAATCTGGAAAGAATCATAAAAAGAGTTCATTTAAAATAAACTAAGTTTTCAACAACTTACTTTAAACATGCCAGCACACATGTTCTGATATGCTTGGCTCATTGTGATCTCCCGGCTCAATGGACGAACTGTAATCAAGAGAAAACTCTCTTTACTCTTTTTCCCCCTGTTTCTTGAATTATTACAGGAGAAAAATTTTAAATATTCCAACTTGTTTACTAATTGTGAACTTCAGTTTGCCCCTGCACGCTAAATTGTCTTTTGACCCAAATACAACTGAAAAAGCTAAATGACTGTGTTCCCAAAATAACGCTATAAAATTCAAATATGAAGTTTCAATTTTCTTGACTTCACCATATGAGACCCAAGCCATGAATACAGTCATTCACTGACTCATGGAACCTATTTATCTTAAGGAAAAAGCACACTGTGGAGCAATATCTATACCATCCCCTACAAGAGTGGACACTCCTCTCCCCATGGCCTTTAGGAGCTCTGTGTAGCACCAGCCTACATCCAGTGCAACCACCAGGCTCTAAATCAAGATGAGCACCTGCTGAGCTCTTCAGCTCTCACCATGGTCTCCTGCTGTTTTGTTCCCTAGCCTACCTTGTTTCATGTGACTAATTCTTAATCTAAGATCCTCTCATACACACAACAGCAAAGAAAGGAACCCAAAAGACTTCTATTAAAAACCTGGGATTCAGCTTCGACCTTCCAATTTCTGAGGGGATGAAGGATGAAAACTAAAATATAATGACTAACTCATCCATTACAACTCATGAGAAGCTCTCTACTCATTATTCTGTTGAAAGTAAAATACACTCCAGTAGTATTTCTTAAGTTTAGACAGTCCACCGAACCTTTCTTTTTTTTCTTTGTTTTTTTACTGCTCCGGCCTTTCTGCTGCTCTTCCATTATCCTTTCCTCGGCCATCTGAGAGCCATCAGCACGACTCAATGTGGACATCAACCATGCATAAAGGAATTCGGAGAGGTACCTTAAAGGATGTAAAATGTTAGTTAACAGAGCTGTCTAAGTGACATAGCTCTATCAACATGTGTTAGTAACAATAGTATTTTCTTCAATTTATTTTCACCAGAAACCAGGCCCTCAAATCCACAAAGCTCCCACCTTCAGCCACCATGAGTATATTTCATGAGGCTTTAAGCACTTAAAAAGATCATCCAATTTGGTAATAGATTAGATCTCATAAGAAATGATGTATTAAAAGTGACTACCTTTCCCTTTCAACATTTTACAACTTTTCATGACTTGTTTTATATATATATATATTCAAACAAATGCACATTAAATTGTTTTTCAATAACAAATCATATTTCACTATGGCCAATTAATATTTTCTTTGCCTATTAATTGCAATGTAAGTGAAATATATATAGGTACAGCAAGTAAATTCGGCAAATGACAAAAGAACAGCATTCTAAAGAATTAAGAACCATTAAAATAAAAGAAAACTATTCTAAAAAATTAAGAACATTCGGGGCTGGGGATTTAGCTCAGCGGCATAAGCACCTGCCTTGCAAGCAGGCCGTCGTGAGTTCAATTCCCGGTACCAATTAAAATGAAAAAGACAAAAAAAAAAAAAAAAAAAGAAAAAAAGAAAAAAATTAAATTAAGAACATTCAAGCTTGTAATTTACTTGTTTTTCAATAAATAAAATGTTAAGGAATATTCTATCAGATACTTAACTTTTTCAGGTATTTAAATTAATCAACATACTCCACAAAGTCAGAAAAGTAGTTCAAATCTAAGATATCAATATATGTATCTTATAATAATAATAAGTAATAAAATTAAGGACCACTAATAAAAATAAAAGATCTGTAAGAGGTGCCTAATTCCCAAATTTCCAGAAAGTTGTAAAACAGGTTATAACATTAGAATACATTATAGAACAGTATTTTAAAGCAAAACAAAAACTATTCAAAAACCATGTAGTACTTAGGCTGAACTGATGCCAAGCAAAGCACTATAATTCTTTGCAGGTAAGGCAAAATGGGAAACGTAAATAATTTCTGAATTTAGGAAAAGCTTTTATTATAATGTTCTTTCATAAGATATAAATGGACTTTTCCTCCAACACACTCTGAAATTTGAGGCTCTATAACCTGCATCCTAACTTGAGGAAAGATTGCTATTATGAAACAACAAAGTGCTTTGTGTCTTCAGATCATCTAACTCAGCACAAATGCATGAAACATTAGCTGACAGGATTCAGCACCCCCCTCTCAAACACCAGGCAACCAGTCAGCTTTAATTCAAGTATTTTATCAGCGTGAGACACACTGTTAAGGAGAGTTAGAATGCTGATACTATCACTGGTTCTCAAATGTCATCTGTGGGCCTGTGGCAATATCCCCTGGCAACTCCTTAGAAAAAGTAATGGCTGGGCCCCCCACCCCTTGACCTCCTGACCCCAGGAACTGTGGGAACTGAACCCAGCAAGTGATTATGATGCATGTTAATGGTTAAGACCATACACATAAAAAATAAAAGGTTTAGGAGCCAAGACATATCTCAGCGGCACAGTGCCTGCATGGCAAGTGTAAGATGCTGAGTTCAATTTCAAGTACCAAAAACAAACAAACAAACAAACAAAAAGACTATTTTGGGAAAACACAGGTGTCCATTTTGTAATTTTAAAACCAAAAAACAATTCAGAGTATTTAAGGTCACATGAGTATTTATAGGGAAGAATTAAGTTTCTTTTATTAACAAGAAATGAAACTGCTTATGTATGTATGCAGACATACCTGTAATAGAGTGCCTATCATTCATTTGCTGAATTAAGATCCTAATTCTTTGAACAAAGCAGTGTATGAAAATTATACTAAGAAGTGGAAAGAAAAAGCTTGCAATTAGCTGCTTCAAGTGACAGAGAACTCTAACATGTTTGCCTATCAAAGAAACCACCAGAAATACATACTATAGGCTAATAACAAAACGTTATATAACCAACATTTAGTAACAGCCATTTATTATGTATAAGAGCTGGAAAAATACAACATAAATCTATTAAAACAGTCACTGCTCAACTACCAATTTTCTTGAGTTTTCTGTTAAAAGCTCATGCTATTCTGCTCATGATAAAAATGTCAACACAGAATTACTTTTTTCTTCTGAGTAACAACTCCAGAGAATACATACTTTAAGTTAAATTTAAATGAGTTTAAATGGAAAACTATATTAAAGTCTAATATACCAAATTTCGGTGTTTGTGATGGGGGACCAGGTCATCATTAGCTTAAAATTACTTTCATAACTTGCCTCTTTAAGGAAGATTCAAGATACCTCAATCCATTAATGCTAACTTTTCTTAAATTATTTGGACAGGTTTTTCATGCCCAAGCCATCCTCCAACACCCTGCTCCTCGGTTTTTCTATCTTGTTCACTGACACAAGGGAAGAACTATTCTGCATCTTTTACTGATTTCCAAAGTACTGAAGCAAAGCCTCGGGGCCACAAAATAAACAGTTCTGCTCTCAGTGGTTACCCTGGCTGTGACCTCTTCTGAAAAGGAAGATCTGGCTCCAGTCTGAACTTCCAGTCAGTCATGAACATACAGCTACTCCCTCGTCCACAGAAGTCAGGGCACAACACGTTTTCAATCTTGTTTTCTGTGCTGCCTAGGCTGGCCTAGAATTTATAAGCCTCCTCACCTCAGTCTTTCAAGTAGCTTGAACTACAAATTGTACCACCATGCCCAGCTCGTAAAATGTGTTAATTTCTCTCCACAGAACCACATAAAAGATCCCCAATTAATCCTTATTTTTGGAGAAATTTTTAGATAGATATTAAAATGGCTGAGAAAATGTGCACAGTGTTATGGTAGTAAAGATGCTCAAGTTGATTTAATTTTCAAGAGTTATTTTCTCAACTGTCCCACAACTAAAGCACTAAATGAAAAAGTACCATAAAATTAGTTTGTTCTATAGATGCTCTCTCAGATCTGATCCATTTTATGGGCCACCAACTGTAACTAAAATTGTTCTCTTACCAGTATATGTAGTAGTACTCATGCATGCTGTAGAGTTCCAACTCAAAGCCACTTAGAAGATACTGTATCATGATTCGAAGGTTATGATACAGGACCCATGTCCCCAAACAGGCCAAATGCTGTCTTTGGGGTTCTTGTTTCAATAACATAGTGTGAAGTGCTGCATCGACCTTCTCTGCCTATCAAAATAAAACGGAACATTGACTTCCTTTTAGGTAACAGAAAATGTTAACTATGAACAGAGAAGCTGGTTGTGATGGGGCCCCAGCACCTGTAATCCCAGCACACTGAGAGGCTGAGGAAGATTACAAGTTCAAGTCTAGCCAGGGCAACTGTGCAACTTAGGGAGTCCCTGTCTCTAAACAAACAACAGAGAAGGGCTGGGATGAGGCTCCATCCCACTACCATGGCTAGTACCACCATTTAAAAAAAAAAAAAAGGCAGAAGATTCAAGTCTTACCCCTAAAGGAATCACACTTTCAAATGTATTTTACTAGGTTTGCATGCAGAGTTTAGTAATAAACACTGTCTACATACTCCTTACAGTAAAAAAGACATCGATTATAAATAAAAATAAAAAATTAATTGAAGAGCTTTAGTCATATTGCAGGTGCTACAACATAAATTAACCTTAAAATGAATATATTTTTATTACAATGTAAACTTGCTTTATAGTTCTAAACACGTTACATGTTTTATCCTGATTATCAAAGAATTACTTAACATATATATCAGCTTCATCATTATTCTATTTTTCTCATAAATTTTTCTTTGGTATGTGAAACCATTAAATTTTAAATGAAAAGCAAATATCATAAGGAAAAATTAAATATTCAAAATACTGTTGTAAAGAATTATTTTTAAAAATCTAGGCAAAGTGTGAAATTATTTAATTTTAGAAAAAAAGGAACTTGGCTCTTACCTCATCTTGCAAGGTTGCAAACTCCTCGAGAATATGCCCAAGCTTATCTCTCTGCCGTGCTCTATTATGTCCATGGATTTGAATAAGACTACAGAATGGCTGGAATACACATACAACTTGTTTACCATCAATATGAAAATTTCCTTAAAGAACAACATTCCAAGTTCTCAAAATCTGGCTTAATGAAAAGAGCTAGATCCATACCCATTTGAGACAACAGCACAATCATCACGGCAACAGTTCAAAACTGCCCTGATAATGCATACCTCCCTCTTCCCAGCAGCCCCTATTGCTTCTCCCTTCCAAGTCTGTGCCAAAGCTTAGGCATGTAACGGTTTACCCAATCCCCTGCACTCTCACAAAACAATCAGCTCACATCAAGCCCCAGAGCCCTACCCCCATCAGAGTCTATAATGCAAAACCTGCCCTTTGTCTGTTGTAGAGAGCCATCACAGCCCTCTGTGTGGTGAATCCCTCTGTGTCCCTTCCTCATTAAACTCTTTTCCTGTCTAGTAGTCTTCTCTTCTCTAGATATTAAGAGTACAAACTTTCTATTCAATCAAAAAGATGTTGTGTATGTAAGAATCATGCTTATGTAGGTTTTTTTTTTTTTTTTTTTTTTTTTTTTTACACAAGTGTTTGTTCCTCAAGAACTCAACACCAGCATTTATCAGTAGCAAGAAAAAAGTGGCAGGCTGGTGATTTAGCTCAGGGCTACAATGCCTGCTTGGCAAGCATAAGGTTCTGAGTTCAATTTCTGGTACCAAAAAATTTTTTTTAAAAAAAGCGGCTGTTAGGTCTGAGAGAAGGGAGAGGAGGAGAAGAGAGAGAGAGGAAGAAGTCCGTGGGAGGAATGGAGTGGACGGCCGTGAAAGTAGTGGGCAGCGGTGACTTTATTTCAGGAATGCCAGGAGAGGTCCCCCTCCGCCGGCCCGGGCGCAGCCTCTCCACTGCACCCGGGGCCGTGGTTAACACGGGGAGAGGAGACTGGCGCGCTGGCTGCTGGAATCCGGCGATCTCTCTCTGGCGATCTCTCTCTGGGACACGTGGCATGGGGGAATATAAATGGCCTAAGCTTAGGGCAGTGCCCTAAGGCCATTAGAGATGTACCGGTATCTCATTGGCGCAGAGGTTTAGCGCCAGAAAGCAGGTTCCTAGGGAGGGATATAGGATTACAGTCAAGTTTATAGGGGGCGGGGGGAGGCAGGAGTTTCTAACTTAGCTGCAGCCTTTCCTGGTTACAGTGTTTGGTCTGGGCCAGCAACTCTTCCAGCGGCAATTTGTTAAACTTGTTTTCATACAGCAAACATATCTCCCTTCAATCTTTAGTTATCTTCCTGTAACTTCAAGAGGACAACTTTTCTGTTTAGGCTAAGAGGAAACATTCCAGGCTGTTGTTTCTGTGCCACTTTAAATATTCCAGAATGGAAGGAAAATGGCAAGTATGAGCCCAGCCCAGCTAGAAATAATCACTATGATTAAAACTTAAAAAAGAAAAGAAAAAATACAAGCCTTCTGATTTTCTTTTGGTCACTATACTTTCTTACATGTATTCAATAAACAGCCTTAGGCCTCGAAGAGTGGCTTGCTTGAGTTCCCTAAGATAAATGCTTATATAATTAAGAATATCATTTTCATAGAATTCTAATTATTAAGGTAGTACTAAGATAAGCATATAAGAATGTTAGAAATATTCTTTATATGGTCAACAAAAGTAAATTCTCATGTCCATTTACAAAAAACCCAAAAACAAAAAACTCCCCCAAAAAACAAAAAACCAAAACCACCATGGAAAACAGTGCTGCTTTCCCAGGTAACAGTCACTGCCCGCCCTGTCCTGCCATACCTGCCCCCCCCAAGCCACCCAAGACCACCTCTGTGCCTAATAATTTGCCAGGAAGGCTGTAGGGCAGAAAGCCATCCAATGAAGTGCTAGGAGACACAAGTTTTTTTATCTCTTCTATGTAAATAGTTGATGAAAATTCATAAATTAATGATATGGAAGGAATTACACCCTGTAATTTTTCAAAGTGTCTATCACAACATTCCAAATTATACTTCTTACCCGAACACAGTGAGTAACAAAGGCGTCAATACAGTCCTTAGCCTGGTGATTATTATATAGGCAGCACCTGCAAGGCAACAGTCACTTCATTAAAGCTAAAGTACCAAGCCTAGAAAAAGCAGCAGAGATTACTGCAGATGCTATTTATAAGAGCAGGTGGGAAAGGGAGAAAAAGGAACCAAACACATCACTAAATTGAAGAATGACAGTATAAGATTGAGAAATATTCAAGTAGTGCTGTGTATCCATCTGGTAAGTGGGTGATTATTTCCATTTCTTCAGTTCTATACTGAAGTTGTCTGAGTTGGGTCTAGTAAGACCACACAAGCAAAAGGAAATTCTGAAGCCCTACCAGTGTCATGTATTTTTACACAACTGATAACCTCATAGATGGTGTTCCTAAGAATAACTGCAAGGGAAATAATACAGAGAATCCTTCAAGAATGTATCCCACTTCCAGCCACTAGCTATCCTATTCCAAGCACACTCCTCTCACACTGCATCTTCTGTCGCTACAAACTAGTCTCCTTGCAGAGTTCTTTGTCAAGAGTATCTCCTCATCCCCTATCCCCAGTGCTAAGGATCAAAGCCATGGATGGCCTCTTGCACACTAGCCAAATGATCCACCACTCTTAATCTATAGTCCCATTCCTTTATTTCACGACAGGGAAAATTCTAGTTGTCCAGGATGCCCTCAAACTTTAGTATATGATCCTTTTGCCTCTACCTGCCAAGTGGGATTACAAAGTACCACTTTAAAAACAAAACAAAACATGTACCACTTCTTGACAACTGCTTCCTGAACACTCTTTAAAGACCTGCTTCCTGCCCTGGGGAAGGTGTAGATGCCAAGTATACTAGATGGAAAGTTTGCTGTTAATTTTTCTTTTTTTTTTTTTTAATATCTGGAAATCACAATGTTTTGTTTTTTGCTTTTCGAAACAAGGTCTCACTATGTAGTTCAGGCTAGCCTTGAGTTCACTATGTAGTCTGAACTGGTCTCAAATTTATGGTGATTCCCTCCTGCCTCTGCCTGTTGAGTGCTGGGATTGCAAGTATGCTGGACCTCCTCCAGCTCTAGGATTTTTTTAAAAAACTGAAGAGATTTCCTCCTGGGGTCTCACCAGGAGCTGCTAACTTGCTACTCAAAAGTGTTTATCACTTTGGCAAGAACCACAAGATAAATAGTCATGGAATGGCAAACAGGATACCGAGCAAGCCAGAAGGAAGACAAGCAGAAACCCTGCTTAAAGAGTTTTTATATTTTTAACATCAAAGGAAACAATTATTTACACACTAAAATACACAACGTTTTAAAAAAAGACTTTCTGGATCTAAAAATAATTATTTTTGAACTGTAAAAATTCAGTATGTCAGTAGATTAAAGATGTTCACTTTTAAGTTTCAAGAAAAATAGTATCCACACAAAACAAGATGACAGTTGTGAGCTCTACAAGGGATCCAGACGACCCAGAATACCAAATATTCTAAAACAAGGCAAAACAAACATGAAAGTGAGACAAAAGTCAAATTAGTAATAAACTGATATGAAGAGTTGAGACCTTACTGAGGGCCAAAATGATTACACAGTTAACCACACAATAAGTATTAAACAGTAGACTCCCCATACATGATTCACCATAACTGAATAAATCGGAAATAAGCAAAAAAAAAACTTCCCTTGTATCTTTACTTAAAATTTTACAAATGAACTTTGGACTGAAAAAAGGGCGGGGGGGGGGGGGAAGAGACAGAAAAGAAAAAAGGAAAGGAACAGGAAGGAAAGGCAACAAAAGAGTGAACTATAATGTCCTGAGAAAGGAATATAAAAAAATCCTTTTCTATTGAAGTCTAAACACAAAATTTAACTGGCAGAACATGAACACCCTTAAATGTCAGTATTTTAAAAAGCTTTAAGAAAAAAGATGTAAAAAATAACAATAGCTGGGCATGGTAGTGCACACCTATAATCCCAGCACGTGGGCATCTGAGGCAGGAGGACATCCATGAGTTTGAGGCGAGTGTGGGCTAAATGAGTTCAAGGCCAGTCTGAACTAAATGGCGGGACCCTGCCTCAAAAAAATAAAAAGCCAACTCAACAAGCCTTTTAAAAAAGACCTTTCCCTACTGAACCATACTACTTTTTCTATTAATGTGATCTCTGAAATCTTTCTTGTATCTGTCCTCCTTACAGTCCCAGAGTTTAATCCTTTATCATCTCTCACATAAACAAATCAGCCTATCTACTCTATGTGCAATGTCACTCCTTCCCATGACCCATTTCTTCCTATTAAAAACCGATCATGCCAATTCTCTAACATCCTGAACAGTTCTGTTTAACAACCAACCAAACATCAAACCATAACAAGCATTCAAGACTTACCTGAGTCTCATCCTAAACTGAGCCCCTATTCATTTGCTCAAGAACTCACTGTGCACTTTTTCTGTGACACACAACGTTCAAGTAACCATACACATCAGTCAGAGTGCTTGGCTGCTGTGAAATAACAGCCATAAGAAGCTACCAAGGTTCATGAAATTTATATTCTAATTACAGGAATGGGGAAATAGGGAAAGAAAAGAAAAAACGTAAGTACATTATAAATTATGTACAAAAGAAATGCTGTTATGGAAAAGAGAAATGGAGTGAAAGCAGAAATTGCAGTTTTCAAATAGGGTGGCCAGGGTAGCATGCTGAAGTGACGCTAAACAGACGTGAAGGTGGCAGGGGCATCATCCATTAGGATTTCTGGGGAAAATGTTCCCTCTCTGCTATCCTGTGTAAAGAACCCAGGGCAAGAGAGCAAGCCTTGAGAGTCCCAGACTAGTAAGGAGGCAGAGGAAGAGGGTGACAGCAGCAAAGCAGAGGCAGGAAAGCAAAGAGGGAGCGGGACAGAGATTCAGACCTAAGCTACTCAAGCCTCCTGGGCTCGGCCCTATGGATCATATCTGTTACTATGAAATGGGGACTGTAATGGCCACTGTGACAGCTTCTGCAAGCCATGCTTTCCAGACTCTCTATGACAAAATGAGCTTAGGGCAGTGATTATCACAGGACAAGGTAAAGATCAATTATTTGCATTTTTAAATTTTTATCTAGACTCAAATCATAGAGAAGAGACCTTACTTTTTGTAATTATCCCCTAAACTGCCTAACACGGTGCTTTGCGAAGTAAAGGTCCAAAACAAAATATTGAATTTGTAATAACCTAAAGTCAACATTATAAAAATCTTAGTTTAATTCTAAACAATATGTGGCAGAGATGGATTAATTTGAACACAATTATGCTATTTTTAATACTGAGACTTTACCCTCAACAATTTTTATACTTTGGTTGTGCAAAAAGGAGTGCAGAGAAGACTGGGCTTTTTATATATTTTTTAATAAAAACACATACACTTGTAAGGGATACAGCTCAGCAGCGTAAGTGCCTGCCTGGTAGGCGCAGGGTCCTGAGTTTGATTCCCCCACATCAAATAAATAAATAAATAAATAAATAAATAAATAAATAACATATAATCTAAAGTGTCTTATGTACTCACTTGGGGGAAAGCACCGGAGGACTGACGAAAGACCGAAGGGCATCTTTAACCATGTCTTGCATGAGATGAGTTCCAAAGACCTTTTTGTTATCCACCAAGAATGTGGTCTTAAAAGCAAATATTATATATCACTTTAGTTATGTATGCACTAGTAACACCACTAGTAATTATTGAGGCATAAACATGCTATAGTATCCATAAGTACTACAGAACACAAAATTAAAATATAAAACATTGAACAATTTTTATAAATTATTTAGCTACATAAGTATTTTTTTATTAATCCTTATTTAAGGTGAAATGCTATGATGCAAGGAAATTTAAAAAAATACAGAAATAAAATCCCAAGTCAAGAGTAGCTGCAAGAACTAAAGAAATCAATGAACTGACCAAATATGTCAAATGCAATAACATGTAAGGAAAGGTTTCATAAACTATGAAACATGAAATGGTTATGTATACAAATTATTTCATAATAGTTTTGCTGTTCTGCTTGATGTTTTGGGGATCAAACTGTTAGGCTTTTTACATACAGGTATTGTCGTGTAATACAAATTTCTAAAAATGGAAAAAATATATTTTAAAGTTTGTATTTAATGCTAATTTGTATTTAATTTCCTCCTAACAATCCCAGAGTATTTCAATATTAATATAAAGATCTTGATTTTCTAAACTGTTTGAAAGTTTACATAAAGTAAAACACAGTTTTGTTGTACAGTTCTTAAATGCTCATAAATACATGGTTTACCTCTTACCACAATCAAGACATAGATCTACTAAACCACCAAAACATTACCTTCTAGTAGTCTTCTAAAGTCAAGACTATCCCATCCAAACCTCAGGTGACCACCGGCATGCTCTCCAACACTTTCATTTTGCCATTTCCAGAATGTCATTAAGATGAAATCAGACAGTTTTTAAATTTGGCTTCTTTTACCTTTTATAATGGCAGAGATTGACCTGCACTGTTGAGCATATTAATACTATACTTTATTTCTTTGTATTTATTCATTTATTTTTTTGGTACTGGGGAATGAACTCAAGGCCTTGTACTTGCCAGGCAGGCACTGTGCCACTGAGACACATTTGTCTTTCTGAGCAGTTTGTCTTTTTGAGCACTACTGTGCTGTCTGCATGATATCCACCCATTGCCTTGAGAATGTCTGAGTTGTCTCAGTTTGGTGATCATGAGCCCACAGTTCTAAACATTTGTGCAGAGGCTCTGGAGAATGTCAGATCTCTTCTTAGTTAAACAACTGGAAAGTGTGATTTGCATGTTTAATTTTATAAGAATCTGCCAAATTCTTTTTCAAAGCAGTTGAATCACTTCACATTCACATCATCAAGACAGATTTTTAAAAATATATATTCTAAAAAGTGGATAGTATTTCATTGTGATTTAATCTGTATTTCGTTAATACCATGCTGAATTATCTTTTCATACTTAATTTCAAATCTTTTGTCTATTTTAAAAATTAGTTTATCTCTCAAAGAATTATTCATATGTTCCAGATACAACCCCTTGTCAAATATATAATTTGTAAATATTTTCTCCTACTCTGTAGCATCTCTTCTTTAACAGCGCCTTTCACAAACAAGTTTTTTTTTTAATCAGTTTCTTGTTTCCTTTTATGAATTAAACATTTGAGGTCATACAAAAGAATTCTATCTTTTTCAGGTTTATAAATATTTTTTAAATTTTTATGGCTTCATAGCTGGGTGTGGTAGTGTACACTTGTCATCCCAGCACTTGGGAGGCTGAGACAGGAGGATTAGTGGGTTCGAGCTACATAGTGACTTGAACGTCAGCCAGAATTATACAGTAAGACACTGTCTCAAAAAGACCCCAAAAAAAGTTTATGGTTTTGCCTTTTATAAATTATGACATATTTTGAATCACTTTTGTCATACGCCTGTCCAAATTGTTCTTGCACCATTTGTTGAGAAGACTATCATTTCTATTTTGAAATACCATTCTAAAAGAAGTAGTTAACCATATTTTTGACCAATTACTTGGCACATTATTCAACCAATAAAGGATTATGGGCTACATAATTCTACATATAATAAAGGGTCAATTTTTAAAAAAAGGTTTTCTCTTTGGTTCTACTCAACTATGTGCCCATCATTTTGCCAATCATATGTAAGACAACAGTGTCCGTTCTCCCTCTCCGTATTTTTTATGTTTGTGCCAGTCTAGTTCCTTGCCTTTCCATGAAAATTTTAGAATTAAACCCTTGACAGTTACAAAAATTATTTTTGTGATTTCGACTGAGATAGTTCTGAATTTGGGGAAAATTAACATGTTAAAAATTTCAATCCTTGCAATCCATGGATAACATTTTTCTATATCTAAGATTAGAGTTCGTTTTTCTTTTTCTGGTACTGGGGACTGAACTCATGACCTTGCACTTGCCAGGCAGGCACTGTTTGCTGAGCAATATCCCAGCCCCTAGATTTCTTCCATTACTACTGTACAGCTTTTCAGCACACAGACTGCACACAACTGGTTAGATTTCTACCTGAGTATTTCAGTGTAAACACTGATCTTCCGATACTGTTCATTCCAAGTAAATAGAAACACGACTGTTTATGACTACTGGCTTCGTTCAACCTATTCATCAGTTTTAGTAACAAGGTTGTTCCTTGGCGTTCTGCACAGCGAATTGTGCTACCTGCAAGTAGATACCATGCCTTTGATGACTTCTTCCTGCTTTACTGCACTGGCTAAGATCTCCAGTGAGGAAGAGGAGTGAGGACAGGTGGCCCTCCTTGCTTTCTTCTCACTCTCAAGAGGAAAATATTTACCCTTTCCTCATTGACTGTGACGCTAACTATAGGATTTTTTTTTGTATATGCTCTGTATCAGGTAAAAGCAGTTCTCTCCTATTCCTACTTTGTTTAGTTTTTCATCATAAACAAGAGGCTGAATTCTGTCAAATGACTTTCCTAAATCTACTAATGATAGACTGCATAGTGAATTACAGTGACTTTCAGATGTTGAACCAGGCCTGTACTCCTGGGATAAACTCCACCTGGTCATCATGGAACTACCTCTCATTTAGCCAGTGCTGGATTCGTTAGTATTTTGTTGAAGTCTATAGACAGCTGCGCTTCTCTGATAGACCTCCAAATAAGCTCCCTAAGAGATTCCTCCTAGTGATTATTACTTTAATTTTAAAGCTGTCACAAAGTTAAATTTTAGGATTTCAATTGTTCTAAAATTATTACGAGGTGAACCTGATGAATGCCTAATACTCTAAATCCATAATTTGATTAAAAATGTAATAGTAAAGTGGATACCCTTTAAAAGCAACTATCTTTTATCAGTCAATGGAATATCAATCCATATATAAAGTAGTACTTTGACACTCAAAGTGACTTACTTGTAACAGTGACCTTGAAAGAACACATGGCGACTGTTCACTAAATTCACAGAAAAAATCCTGACAGAGAAAAGGTAATTGTCATTAACAAATTAAATAATACCAGAAAATATTTACATCTACTATAATTTTTATAAATGACATGCTAGATTTAAAATATGATAAAGGTCACTTCCATAGGAATTGTATAATTTTATTAAGGGACAATTGATAACTTTAGAGCCTAAAAAAATTTTTCTTTTTGAGACAGGGCCTCATTATGTAGTTCAGGCTGGCCTTGAACTCGCTATGTAGCCCAGGCTGACCTTGAACTTGTGGCGATCCTCCTTCCTCAGCCTCCTGAGTGCCAGAAGTACAAGCATGCACCACCGTACCCAGCCTAAAAAACTTTTAAATAACTAATGAGTGATAGAACTATGTGAGTAGCAACACACATTTATACGCCATAAAATATCAATTATAATTGACCAATGACAGAACTTTAGTTCTGACTTCAAAGAAGTGCTGAGTAACAGGGCAACTGGATTCCCATTATGATTGTGGACTTTGGAGAAAGTCCAAAAGGTATGGGTTTAAAACATAGAGGGAAAAAAAAAAAAAGACAAAATATTAACACCTATAGTTTGTGGGACAAGTTATTTATCATTTTATTTCTCCACATCTGCCAATTTTAGAGATTAAAATGTGGGATTGCCAAGGTTAGATACCCATGCCTAGGAACCCCTATACTGCAGCTACAGGTTGGGAGAGATCAAGACAGGACTGAGAGCCTCTCTTGGTAAACAGAAGTTGCTGTGGTTAGACACTCAGGATGCATCCCCCAGGAGCGTATCTGCCACCCCTGATGCTACCAAGACACTCAATACCACTGTGAGCTGGGGCCTCATTCTGTTCCTGTGCAACACCTCACATGGGGTAGGGGCAGACATGGGACGGACAGAAGGGCAGAGCAGAGCGAAGGAAGGGAAGATGTTCACTTAGGTCATGACTATTTCAGAAAGGTTTCCTTTTTCTCCAGGAACTGCTATTTTCCCTGGTAAGCATCTCATGACTCCTGACTTCCCTTCTCTATCTAACACTATTGTTGTAATCTGGTTTTTCGTTTCTTTTTTCTCAAGATGGGGTCTCCCGAGGTGGCCTAAAACTCACCATCCTCCTGCTTCAACCTCCCAGGTGTAGGGCATGTGACCAAACCTAGCTTCTTTCCTTTTGTAAAGGAGAAATAAGTTTGTACTTCTCTATTACACTTGGTTTTTTTTTTTTTTTTCTCCCCCATGGTACACAGGTATTAAACCCAGGACCTCACATCATCCTTCAAGTCCTCTACCACTGAGCTACATTGAAAGCCCTTTCTATTTTTTCACTTTGGGATAAAGCCTCACCAAGTTTGAATGTTGGCCTTGAGCTGAAGATCCCTGTTATGGTTTGGGTCTGGATGTCCCCTCAAAGCCTCGTGTGGTCAGGGAGATGGCTGAATCTAGTTAATGACTGATTCACTGTCTAGTGCTGGGGTGAGGTTTTAAGTGCTACATATGCCCTTGGATGGGCAGCCTGCACACAATTTAAGAGAAGGAAGGGAGGCTTGTTTACCTCTTTTGCTCTTACAGCTTTTGCTGCCTTCCACCACCCCAAACTATTGCCCCTCTTCCATGTGTCACCCTGCCTTGGAGCCAGCTAATTGTGGACTGAAATCTCTACAAACTATGAACTAAATAAACTTTTCCTCCTTTAACTCTGGGTGTCAGGTATCTTGTCTCAACAGTGAGAGAACAGTAAGGCACCCCTTGACTGTGCTTCCCAAGTAGTTGGGATTATGGTGTGCATCACCCCATCTGGCTTATATTCATTATCTTTATGAGCACACATTCTTGCTCCTTTATGAATTCTCTTCTTCACTCCAATTTAAGTATGGCTGTCCCCTGGCTCCTTTTCTTTCTATACGTATCCTCTAGAATCATGATCTCCCAAGTTTAGATGGATATTCTAACCATTTCACAACTGACTCCTCAAGATAAATATTTCCTACCAGAAACAGTACCTTTCTATATCACAAAGGAAACAAAAGGAAGAGGAAACCTGTCAGCATCAGCATCAAACCACCAACTGAGCCCAATTTATCCCTCCCCTGCCTCAACAATAAAGTGTACTAAGGACGCCAGCTTTATTAATATTAATGTGTTATCAATAATTCACCCTTAATGGCCCCAGACAGCAAATTCTCCTCTGGACCATTGTATTTACGTCACAGCCCAGTGTCTCTCATCTCTCACATGCTCATCAAACGTCCCAAAGGTGACTCTGCATCCAGTGTCTCCACCCCTCCACCATCTGCATGCAATCTGTCTCTGAGTGATGCCAGCAGTGTCTCCTCACCTAAATCCAGTGACCTATCAGCAAACTTTGAAAGACTTTTTTCATGAAAAAACCAAGCAACTTTCCAAAATTTGTCTTTTTAGCCACTTGTTAAGTCTGACCTGAACACTTGAAGTTTAGTCCTAAACCTTCTATATTCTTTCTACTTGACAGTTTTAATCCTGCTCATGTTTCACTTACTACCTATACGGTAAAAGCCCAAACCTGTTATCTCTCAGCAAAGAACTTTAACATGCTCCTGTTGGTTGGAACCTCCAGTAGTACCTATGTGACTATACCACCAGTGTCTTGGCAGTGAATTATAGCCCCATCATGAATGTTAATTTCTGTTACCATTTGTGGCTGGATGTCTCCCCAAAGCTTCATGTAGTCACAGAGGCTGAATCTATAGTTTGTGATTGATTTATGATAGGTGTAATGCAGGGATCAAGGGTGTGAGTGCTACACCCACCCTAGTGTGGCTAGCCTGCATACAATACAAGGGACAGAAAGAGGCTTACCTCTCTCTCCTGCTTGTTGCTTGTGCTGTCTTCTGCCACCATGAATGGTTGCCCCTCTGCTATGCTACCCTGCCTTGGAGCCAGCTGACTATAGCCTGAAACTTCTACAAACTGTGAGCTACATACAACCTTTTTCTTTTAATTCTGGATGTCAGGTATTTTGCCTCAGCAACAAGAAAAGTAAGACACTATCCATATCTACTATCAACATCTATACTTAAAGGCAACTTAAATCCAACTTTAATAAAACCTCTGTGAGCTCTATTATTTCAATGACTAGTACAGAGTACATCCAGAGCTGAAGTTAAAAACTTGGAAACATTAGTAAAAATTTCTCTCAAGCTCCACATATGATTCACCACCAGTGTTGTGTCAACTTAGCTTACATATAGCTCGAAGTCTAACAAAATCACATCATCTTCCTGTCATCCTTTTATTCCAAATTACCACTGCCTCTTCTTTGGACTACAGTAATGGTTTCTTAATTTGTCTTCCTGTGTTTACTCTGGTCCCCTTCCAATTCTTTCCACAGTGTACCCACTACTATCTTAGCAAATTATTAATGTAGTATTACCACCTATTATGTACTGATTCTACATAACTCTATTCCTGATTTTCCTTTGCTCTCTGATGAAGACCAAAATCCTGAGTGTGGCTTAAATGATCTCACATGGTCTGTGTGACTGTCTTCAGTAAACCCAACTCCTCCACCCCACTCCATGTTCCTAGCTTTCTCATACTGTAGTTTTTACATTGTTTTGTGTTCTTCCTCATCACAAGGTGGAACATTCAGGTTCCTTCACCTGGAACTGCCAGACTTCAACCATCCTAACTAATGTCTACCCAATCGCAAGATCTTTTCTTTGTCCTCCCTGATCACTTAGGTCACTCTTTCATCGTGTTCCTTTCCCTCACACATCACTAATCTCCTGCGTAGTTCTATAATGATTTTTCTAATTATCTGAGCAATTTCCCATTCACTCTAAACTAAGTTTAAAGATAAGCCAGATGATACGCTTTTGCTCATCAATACATTAGCACCGAGAAAATGTCCAAAAATAGTTGCTGAGTTGATGAACACATGCTTTCATAGTTTCACGTGTACTCCATATTTGCCTTTTTTTGCTTGATGTGGTGCTGGCGATGGAACCCAGCATCTCCCATCCTGTAACAACTACACTTTTAGTCTTTATTTCTGCATTTCTTACTTCTGGTACATATCCGTAAGACAACATAATACACTGTATTATCTTGTAGTTGGGTGCATATCCATTAAGACAACATATACATCCTGGTACATATCCATAAGACAATATACATAGTTTATTATGACTGCATTTAAACTCAATGCTCTTCCTAGTAATTCCACAGCTATCACTCTAGACTGTTAATTTGAGCTTCTCTTTACAAATTTCTCTACCCTTTCTTTGCTGTCATCTCTCCCCCCCCCCCGTAAATCACTGACAAGTTGGAAACGGCAGAAAAATGCAAAATAAATTATTCTTCAGTATTCTACCACTCCAGAAATAGAATTAACATTGTGAATTTACAATTATTTTTTGTCTTTTGAATTTAAAATTTTTAAAAAACTATTTCTAACAATGTTTTCTTTTGTGTGTCACAGAATGTCAGTATACAGTGTTCTTGAACAAAACTTGATATTCATAAGCATCTCCCCATGTCAGTATTTTTCTACAACATGCTTTTTAATGGCTACATGGTATGTATCCTACACATACTCACACAAATAGTTGCCACTTTTAATGTATCTTTGTATCTACTTTATTCCAGACCATGAGAATTGCACAGTCAAGAGAATACATGGCTGTAGGTTTCTGAGACGTGTAATCACAGGAATATAGGAGATTATTTCCCTTTATCAATGTTAAATAGTACTATACTTTTCAATCTAGTTTATCTTACCCATATGTAAACATTTTTAATAATAATTTGGCTCTTCATTCTAATAGTTAGTAACAACAGATTTCTTAATGCAGACAGATCCAGACTTATCTAGTGCCCTCCCTCTCTCCTCCTGGCCTGTCACACATCCTCCACCACTACCAGTTCCTGTCCCAAGTTTTCTAAGCAGTTACAGTCTTTTTTCTTTTCTTCTTTACTATGCCCTCTTCATATTCAGTACCCACAGCACAAGAGTAGTTTCTCCAGTCCCCTCTTCCATCATGGCAGGGTCTCATGCAGTCGTCTCCCTGAAAAGCGATCCTTAATTTTCTGTAGAGTACTGACCATCAGTGGGGCCCTGTCTGGGTTGAGGAATACTGATATTATACATAACAATACGTTGTTTTGCTGCTCTAGAATACCTCTGGTGATAAGAATCAGATTAGGTAGAAGAATGGAAAGCACAAGATGGACGGAAACTGAATCCATAATCACGAGATTCTAGTGTGCATGAATAATGATAAGAACTCATTATTGTACTGGAAAAACTGCTAGTTCTATGGATGATTACAGATATTCAAGATTTAAATGTAAATGAAACTAAAAATTTTATCTATATAGTTGCAATAGTTATACCTTTCACCTATATTATTGAGCTGTAAGAATAACTTTTGCTTGTATCATTTCACTTCTCACTCAATAACATACAATGGTTCCACAATCCAAAAACAACCAAACAATATTAGGGTTTGCATGATTTTGGTTCACTTTCATTACCCATAATTAATCACTGAACTTCTGAATTCTTAACAAAATACTCAGAACACCCTTCTTATAGCCACACTCCAGAAAGTCCTTTATCTGACTGTTTGTTAGCAACATGTTAATCATTTTTCAACACTGAGGTCAAATCCAACCATACTCTAATTCACATTTTTTTCCCTATTCTAAAACTCTACTGAATATGCAGAAAACTGAAGTATGTATTAGATCATCTCTCCAAGTAGAAGGGAAAGGTAGAACACAGACCCTGCCATGTCACCTAATCCCAACTATACTTTTGTGTCACTTTATAAATCTTAAGAGACTGTGAACCTTAGAAGTATCAATTACATATTCTTACATATGGACCTAATATTAGTATGATCTATTTAGTATAAACAAAATTTCAAAATTTAGGGATTGTGATACCTACAAAACTTGTATACACTAGTTCCTCTAATCGGGTATACTCAAAAAAGCGGTAACTGAACATAGGTGTTTCTGTAGACTGAGCTAGGACAGGACTATACACTCTCAACTTTGGGCCTACAATGCTTGATAATGAATAAAAAGCCTTTTTCCTTTAATAATCTCAAAACTCTCATGAAGACACATTAAAAACAATGCCAAAACCATAGTGGGAGTAAAAAAGCCTCCATTACCTTCAGCTTAGGCTTTATAGTCAGAAGTCAAAGTACTTACAGATGTGGGTGAGACGCAGAAGTATGTCAAAAGTGCATGAAAAGCTACCATGACCCTCCCTGTTTCTCAATCCTATACCAGCTCAAAACCAGACCCCTGTCCACTCAGACATATATGCAATCATCCTTTAATATGAAATCCTGCAGCTTGCAGGAAAATGTCCAAAAGATCACTGACAATAGCTCAGCAACCTATCCTGATTGGAACTACTATGAATTTCCTGAAATGCCTGGTATGTTATCACAAAGTACTAAGTCTTCAGAAAGCTGTCGGTCCTGTGGCTTGTTTCAGAGAAAAACAAAAAACAAAAAAAATCATGTCAACTAAGAATAAAGTAGAATTGACAAAACGATATACACATGAAAAGCATTACAGGATATAAAACAATAAAATGGGTTGCTTGTACTTCAAGATCTTATAATTGATCTAGTAAACATGAATACAAGCCCAGGTAACAATTAGAGTCAGGAAAGTAGATACAGCAAAAAAGAGTAAGAAAATCTCTATTCTAATTCCTGCTATGAAATTAGAGTCATCTATTTTGGGCACAAACCCTATGAACCTCAGCTTGCTTATCTGTGAAATGTCTGCAAAATGAACTAGATATATGGCTCTCATCTATTTTCCATTTTGCATTTCTACACTTGTAACAGCATTAGGGCAATCTACTAAAAAAAAAACAAGTACAGCAGAAAGTAAAGGCAGTATCAAGAAGCTTCACTAAAAAATAAGGATTTAAGTTGGACTTTAATAATAAAGAATTAATGGCCAAGATATTATAAGAGCAAAAATAATACCACAAATCTTCATCACTCATTAACTATTTCCCAGAAACTAATACCTAATATAGAAATATAAACTAGGTATTTGACTAATGACCTTGTGCTTGCCAGGCAGGCACTGTGCCACTGAGCTATATCCCCAGTGCCTGACATCTGTGATCTTAAGGAAGAAAAGTATAAAGAAAACCTTCAACCATTAATGGAGGCTCCACAGAAGACAGGCAATGAGCCAGGGATACAAGCACGCAATGTCATAAAAGTCAAACGCACAGTTAAACAACACATATTATTATGCTTAAGTCCTAAGAAAACAGTATTATCTTGTGAATTTTCTAATATGCCACTGTAACTTTACAACCAAAAAGCTCCATTTCTCAGTATTTTAATATTCTTGAAATAAATCTTGTTCTTCTGTATTTTAATACATAAAACTGATAAATTGCAAAAGTAGCTTCAAAATGTGCACGCTCTTTCAGTCCTACACCCTCATGCTCTAGGAATTTATCTTAAGGGAGAAGGATACATATGATTCAAATTTACATACAAAGGAGATCATCATTGCTCAAAACAGTGCAACATTGAAAATGACCTAATGATCTAAATGTAACTAAATATGAAGGAACTCAAAAAATCTGCACAAGCTCATAATGAAATACTCTGCAATCATTAAAATAACAAATATGTAGTTATGACATAAAAATATTTTACCATATTGAGATCGGTAATTTTTTAAGAAACTGGTTATCAAACCTGTAAGTCCATTTTTATAGCTAAAAGTAGTTACACTAAACATATACATATGTATACATATACATACTCTTTAAAAAAAAATTTTTTTTTAAATTTTTATCGGTACCAGGGATCAAACTCACGATTGCCTGCTTGCAAGGCAGGCACTTATGCTGCTGAGCTAAATCCCCAGCCCCATAAACATACTCTTATAAGAAGGTTTTAAAAGAATCTAGGATCCAAATTTCATTCCTAAAATGTGGATGGTAGAGTTAACTTTACTTCTTAATCTCTAAAATAGTATAAACTCTTTATAAAGAGTAAATGGAATGTGCATATGCATGTACGTCTATGTAATACACATGGTCATGCACACACATGCAAGTACAATTTATTTCGTTATTAAACCAAAGTTATACTGGAGATTACAGACTGGTACTTACCAGGATACAATGTAAATTTGTTAAGTTCACAACCTCACACACAGTTTTTATTCTATCTATTAATCTTGCAAAATAGTTAACCATTTCTTCCCTTTTAATTATTTTTGCATATCGAGGGAAGGTAGGTGGAAGCAGCCTCTGATTAACAAGGGGCTCAAAACCCATCATAATTGGATGATCTAAAAAAGAGAAGAAAAAATTTTCAATGTTTTTGTAAATTTTAAACTGCAAATGCTATTCAATATAAAGTTAAATGCTGATTTCAAAGACATCTCCAATTCTCATCACAACATCCCATGGACACTACAGTTTATAACTACAAATACTTTTCAAAAAGTGAGATAAATAGATTTAGCAATCTGACAACTGTATTCCCTACATACATGGTAGTGGTTCTAGTGACAGGGATCTCTACCTCAAAATGAACTTCCAACCAAGAATGGGATAACAGGGCAAAGCAATCTCTCCAAGAAAAGTGGAAATGCTGTAACTAAGTCATGAGACTGAAGAAAGGTAAAATGGGAACATGAAGGCTTTTCTTCCCTTCAATTTGCTGAACAACATAATAACTTCAAATTTAGTTTCCTAACAATCCAGAATAGCAGAACTGACAGCCCCCAATAAATCTTGAATGAATATGAAATGTAATTATAGAAAGTTAACTCATTTTAACAACATTCTAAGAAACTGGAGAGTAAATTTTTTCCTCCATTCTCTGTGTACTGGTGATCTCACACTTCCTACCAGTACGAAGCTTCAAATGGGGATCTATAGCCCAGAACTAAGAAGTAATTATGAATTTTGGGTTCAAAGTTCTCCTGCTGATCTACAAACAGGCTACAATTTATGAATGAAAAACTAAAAACCAGGCATGGTGGCACTTGCTTATTATCCCGCCATTTTGGATGCTGAGACAAGAGGATTCCAAGTTTAAGCCCAGCCTGTGCAGGTGGGCAAGACCATGTTTCCAAACTTAAAAACAAACAAACAAATAAACAGTAATGAAGGAGAGCTTGAGAGAAGAAAGTGAATAAAAAATAATTTAGATGTGTTATGCACATGTAACAACTTTCCACAGGAATTTGGTCATTATGTACTACAAATGTATACTAAGTAAATATTTAATTTAAAAAAATTAAAGCTAAGCAAGTATATTAAGAATTAAAGACAAGACTGATAATCAAAACAGTACTCCAACTATACCTGTAAAATTCTTGTATATTTTCATTGTCTGACTTGCTGACATGAATCAGGAATTCATGCATGTTAGGCATAGGCTCTACACTTAGCTACACCTTCAGTCCTATTCTTTAAGATCCTCCAACAAAGATGGGCCAAATGTTCACAGACTTTTTATTCTACTAAGTTCTCCATGGCTGAAATTATTCTCACTAGAAAGTGCTTGACAATATCCTGTTATTCCTATAGAAAAAGATTTTCTATTTCAGGTGGAAAATTGTTGGATTGATTCAATGGGAGCTACTTTACACATCTATTATTTAGGTAGCTGATGGACATATAAATTTCATTCTGATTCACTGATTTGCCTCCCCTTCCACAGGAAGAAGTCTTGATAGCTGCAATTCATTTCGACATTCTATTACTTCAGATAAATCAGTGTTTAAAATTTTTCATTTGAGGGCTGGGGATTTTAGCTCAGTGGCACAAAAGCCTGCTTGGCAAGGGCAAGGTCCTGAGTTTGATTCCCAGTATCAAAAAAATTTTTCATTTGAACTGGTTATAAGGTCTCATTTAACAAATTAATTAAATTCACGACACATGCTCATTTTTATATATGTATGAGAGCCTGGTTCTACCTTTTTCTAAAATAGTCTTTGAACATCTCTATTCCCTAAGCACTGCACACTCTAAGCACAGTGACTCACAATGTTTATTAGGCTTCTTTCCTTTTCCTCAACTATTTTCTCCAACTTCAGTAGTTCCTACCTGATAGACTTGACACAGGTTGAATGCTTTTCCCTGCTTTCTCTAGTAGCACTGTGTATACACACTACTATACTGTCTGTGTGGGATTATCCCGCTCCCCAAATCCAGCTCTTTGAAAGTGGCAAGCTACTATGTCCCAAACAACTAAATACCTGGCTCGTAACAAGCACTAGAAATGTATGTGCTGAATGATAAGACATGCAACATAAAGCATGCTGAAGATAAAAGGAAAGGTTATTAACACTATAGTGAAACAAGTTAACACTTCACTTAAAACTAAAGTGAAAGTACCAGTACAAACACTCTGAAAAGCTTCTATACAATATGAACACGAGTAATTTTGGGCTTTAATGATAAATGCACAAATGCTCTAAAAGCTTCTATACCATACAAACATAAGCAATTTTGGGCTTTAATGATAAATGTATCACCTTGCCTGGATTCTCCCTCAAGACATACATCCAAAATTGTTATCCAGGAATATTCTTTTATTCTTAATTACACAAATGTTTAGGGCTTACACCACAAGATTAAGAAGATTAAGCAGAGACAGCCACTGGTGAAAACCTACATCATCATGGAAAGAAATATTAGTGGGAAAAGGACAATAAACACATTTTGTACTCTACCTTTTTTTGGGAGGGGGCGCAATCCTGGGGGTTGAACCCAAGGGCACTCCACTACTGAAATTCATCCCTAGCTTTTTGTATTTTTCGATAGTCTCACTAAGTTATACAGATTAGTCTTAACCTTGTGGTCCTTCTGCCCCTACCCCAGGTAACTGGGATGGCAGATATGTGTCTCCATACACAGCTGTACACTATTTTCTAACAAATTAACAACATAAAACTATTAATTTCTGAAATTAATTGGAACTGTCTTGCATATATCAGGGAAGGTGCTACTAGAGAAAGCAGGGAAAAGCATTCATCCCTGACCTCTTCTCACTAGGTGAGTAGCAAGCCCTGCACTGCGAATCAGTGTGCATCCAGACATCATCAAATGTCCCTGAAAGGCCCCAACAAGGAAACACTGACAAATACAATAAATAGTTATAAGTATAAACATGCATAGAAAAATTAAAGAAAAAGACTTCCTCGAAGAATGGAAGACTAAGGGAAGACACAAGGATGAGAACTTAGTAACAGAAGAAAATATTAGGAAGGTATTTAGCATTTGTGAGTCCTACACAATGGAAAATATGGCTCCTTTTCTTTTTCCTGTAGGTGGTTGGGATTTTTCAAGTTTTAACTTCTCCAAACTCTTAAAGTAAAAACAGATGCGTATAAATAGACTGGGGATAAAGTTTCTTTGTATAAACTAAGAAGTTAACTGTATGAGTGTTACGGATTAAAAACTGGTGGTCAACTTAACACCAGCTGGATTACATCAGCATGGTTCTGAGTGTAGATGTTCCACCTGAGGAAAATTGCCAGCATAAATAGATATATGGAGAAGAAATTTTGCATTAGATTGAGGCCTTGAGGCCTTGTGGGTTCGCCTAAGTGTTGCTGTTGAGCTGTTAGGTTCTCTGGAGAAGCTCTGGTCCTCACATCAAGCACTGCTTCCTGGCTCCGGAGAGGAAGACGTGTCCCGCTTGGACTCCAGGATGAACTTGTCATGCTGGCTTCCTGGCATGTACTCGACTGTGCTTGTCATTGGAGGAGTTTGGGGCCTCCACATCACTGAGGATGGCTGTGGTGACTTTCAGGACAGCCCAGGTCTTTGTTGTGTGACTTCGTGGCTCCAGCGTAGAACCCTCATCCCACCAGCACAGCTCCTTCACCTTGCTGGCATAGACTTCCTAGCTTCCACCGCTGACCTTTGGGCCTTCCCAGCACAGATCCATAAGAGACTGGTGTGAGTCCTTCTTGTGGGTTCTAGAGTTCCAGTTGGACTCGTGGGAGGCACTGTGTCATGAGCTCTGGGTCTTTATTTGGACTCATGTGGGACACTGCTGTGGGGTTTGGGCCCTTGGCTAAATATTCTTTGTCTTTAGTGTTGTGGATAGATTTCTTGCATTTTCTTGTGTTAACTCCCCGTGACCATCGTAAAAATAATATTAAACTCATGTCCTGTTTTTAATTGTTCTCTGCACAATCCCTGACTACAACGAGTTTCTCCATTTTCCTGCTACATTTAAAACTTTTACATTTCTCTGAAACTTGTTCATCTTAATGGTTAAAATGGTTACTAGCAATTAAGCTATTTTTAAGTCTCAAGCTATTGTTTCACATCATACAAAAGGACTCAGTAATCATCCTACATAAGGATTCACAAGTTGTTTACAAAGAAAAGCGATAAAAACTAAGACATAATCAGGTGGGCATGGTGGCACATTCCTGTAATCCTAGCAGTAGGGAGGCTGAGCCACAAGGATCATTGCAAGTTCGAAATCAACCTGGGCTACATACAAAGCAAGCCCAAGGCCATCCTGAACTGTGCAGTGAGACCCTGTCTCAAAAAGACCAAACCAAACCAACAAACAAAAAACACTGAGACTTAAAAAGGCAAAGAAATTATTCAGGTTAAAGACTGCAGTTGAACAGAAGAGGGACTAAAAGGTAGATTTGAGTTTGTGTTTAGTTTTCAAGGCAACAGAAACTGAAAAGCTAAGTTTAGTACATCCAATATCCTACCACAACATATTGCTTTAACACTTTCCTCTGTATTTTATATCACTGACACTATCTTAGTCTGTCTTATTTAAATTAACTTCAACAGGTTTTGAAATAGCCTTATGAAAAGTCACTCATGAAATGAGTTCAAAAAAGAACACAATTCATATTACCTAGTGTAATAAATTGTAAATAGTGTAAATAAATTCATATTACCTAGCGAATAAATTTTCTAAATTGAATACAGATCAGACAAGAACTTCTAGCTTTCCTTCTGATTTTACAAGTTTTTAGGTATATGAAAGTTGCCTTGTTTTTCCTGGTAAAATTCTTATCACGAATGGTGGAACATCCCTACAACCTCAGCTACAAAGGAAGCTGAAGTGGAAGGATAGAGATTTCCTGGTCAGCCTCGGCAATATACTGAGATGCTCCCTCCTCCCCCAAGATGTCATCTTAAAAAACAAGACAAAATCTCTTACTTGTAATATTAGCAACCAAATTATTTTCCCCTCACATTAAGTATAATAAAGCATAACCATTATTTTCAGAATATTTTCACTGATTTAAAGTATTTCAGTCACTAAAATTCCACTAGATCACTTATTTTCATTTTTATTAATACAAAACTATCAAAACACAATGTCATTGGAAATAAGTTTTACATAACAAGGTGCTTTGGTTTTAGATGTCAAAATTAAACATGTGGAAATGTATTAGTGAAGAGATAGAGAGAGATACTATGTAGTTTTTATATGATGATGACTTTTAGGACTCTCCCCAATTACTTAGGAAAGTAACATTTATTAAAATATATTTTTTATAGCACATACAGCCTTTTGAAATTTATTAAAATATTAAAATAAGTTGTAGATGCCTTGGCTGGAAAGAATTCTGCAAAGGTAACACAAAAAGCAATCTAACTAGATTTGGTTATATTTGCATTTCTTGAATGATATACCTAGAAGAGTCAAATTTATGGAGATACAAAATACAGACTATATTGTATTTGTTGTTTGTTTCTCACTAATAATTCTTTCTATCCACTGTAACATAGGTTTTCATGAGTGGCTATTCTCCATTTAATCTGCTTTTGGTATACAGCCTTTTATGAAAAGTTAAAGCATTATACTAGGTAAAATAAGGCAGATATATATAGTGTAAAATTTATGATAGCATATGCAAAGGCAAAAAACAGTATGCATTTCACTGGGTCTTTTTTCCTTTGTTCCTTCAATAAGAAAGTAGTTTATAATTCAAATTTCTCAAGTCCTGAGTAACTACAACCTTCTCTTCAGTTTTAATATGAAAATGACTCCAAAACCTGATTTTCAATTTTGCAGAGCCAAGAATTTATTTTTCTAGTGGACGGCTCCATGGCAACACATCAAACAATACCTTTCATCACCTGAGCTCCACACCTCTTCTGCCTTGTGCATCTTGGAGTGAACCCACTAACAAGTCATTCTTACATCGCGTTTTAGACTTCTAATTTTCCCTTTAATGCCACTGTTTCCAAGTCCCACTCAACATACACTTTTTCACTGAGAAGCTAAATGATTGCTTACTGCTTCTAATTTAGCTATTTTGTCACTAACGGAAATTGTAAAAATTAGAAAGTAAAGTGAGTAAGCTAAAACCAAAATTAATCTACATTGTTTTCTCACCATTCTCTTTAGAATAGGCATCAAAAAGATATTAACTTTTTTATTATGTAACTTTTAAGAAGGAAAATTATAATGTTAAATTAAGCAAGCTAGAAGGTACTATACAGAAAATCAAGCACGGTAGTTATTACTTTTAAAAGTTAAATTTTCACTTGTGTAGTTGTCAATTACATTTTATAAAAATGTACACTCAAGGTAATTTTATGTAAACAATCTTCCTGAATCTTACTTATCTGAAATACACAGAAGTCATTAAGATGCAGCGCCTAATGATCCTACAATTATCCGCAGTTTGCTTGACTGCAGATATGAAGCAGAACAGCTCCCAGGAGTGACACATGGTGGAAAGAACATCACGTTCCAATAACCTGGAAGCCTCCTGGTTTACATCATTAACATTACTATGACACAAACCAACTAGGCACTCTCAAGTCATGTATTATACACTGGCTTTCATGAAGTATTCATGTACTAGACTTCAAAGTGTTTAAGAGTCATAGATATCTTACACCTTTGTAAATATGTACCATAGATTACACATTAACACTCTTTTTAAAAAATATGTCCCTTATAATTACTAGAGACATATGATTGCAAGAATACTCATTTCCTAATCCAAATTACCTCTGGACTATTATACTACCTAATATCTGAGTAAAGAAAAGTTCATAAGAATATCACAATTCTTGCCCCTAAAAGGAGAGGAGTAACTGAAAAAGAAAAGGCTGGGAATCAGTAAGATCTTGCTTCCTGGTCATAAGACCAACAACTGGGAAACACTAATGTAAAGAATTTAAATACTACCTAACTTAAATGAGTTCTGAAGATAATCAGAACTGCTACTGTCTAAAATGTTAACCCAACTGCAGATTTTACAAAGGTATTCTACCTTTTTATTTTAAGGTACTTTCTTAGGGAGAGAAGTGTTAAGTTAAAGAGGAGTGTATTTGTAAAAGTGAAGAATGAGGAGAAAACTGGCTCTGCAGAATAAGCTTGAGCTGAGTAACAGAGGAAAAAAACAAAGGTAGAGGTATACCCTGGAGGACTCAGGACCAGCTATGCTAAGAAAGGTCACAATAGCCTGAAGTACCCTGCATGAATCCAATTTGAGTTCTAATGACACGCTAGGTACTGCAGAAACAGTTCCTGCCTAAGCTCACAGAAAGAAAACAGGTCAACAATTACAGACAATATTGGAGACATGGCCTAATGCAGGAAGGCCACATGGGAAATGCTGGATCTGCCTACTGCTTAGTATAGACTATATAATGAAAGTGATCAGTTTTTAGGCAAACAGCAGGAATACATGCAGAGAATATCTGAAGGACAGGGCATATATGCAGGCTAAGAAGTAAGCCACAGGGCATTGCCAAGTTCTACAATATTTTCAGTCTAGAAAAACTTACAAATGAGTCTAAAATATTCTATATGTCTTTGGAGTAAATGTTCCAAGGTCCAGGAAAACTAACCTGAATAAAATTTTAGAATAAGCCAAACACTATGCATACTCTGAATGGGAAAGAAAAAAAGAGTAACAGTGAGATGGACAACTACCTCCTTTTGTAGTATCATTCTGGGCCTGGATGCCATGGTGCAACGAATTATGAATGGCAGAAAGAAGATCTGCTGCTTGAACCATCAATTTTTGAGCTTCTGCAACAGCGCTGGTCTAGCAAATAAATCACCAAAAACATTCTTACATATTCTTTCACTGAAAGATATACATTAAATAGGAAAATCCTATAAACAATAATGAAATTAAATGCTTGCTGTAATGATACTGGCTTTCACAAATTATTCACTTAATGCAGGATGCCCAGATCCTGTTAGGATAAAAATAATTTTTTTTTCCTTCATATCTATGTATTATGGGATCCACTAAAAACATCTGAAATCTGATTTACTGTATTAATCTTATTTTTAAAAATAAAGTCCAGAAACACAGTCAACTGAAAAATGAAAAATATATGTCAACAATTCTAAAATATTCATCAAGATGGTGGAGGAAAATTACAGAAATCAGACCCATCGGAAAGGTGGTATTTTTACTCACCATTTATTCATAAATTAATCAGTAATGGCCTGGTATTTAAATGACACAAAAGTAAAAATACTGACCAACGGTTTGCCTTCGGTACACTACAAATCTAACAATTGATATTTAACTGAAGGGAAGAACAGACCTATATAAAATTTGCATTTTTAATTGTCCCTTTTCAATCCACAAAATATAACAACCTACAAGCAATTTCTGCTTCTATTACAGTTTATTAGTAAGTAATATGAAACATTTTTATATCAATAGAAATGGGTTCTAGAATTCAAGGTAAGATTCATGTGATTTCTCCAGAAAGTCTTGATGGTTACTCCAGTCTAAATATATCAAATGATGTATGAATGATTATCAGAAGCACGTGAACAGAAAAATCTCAGAACTGCTTCAAGAAGTTATTCTACTCAAGTCATTAAAATAAGACATAAATATATATAATAGTAAATTCCCTTACCTCTTTCTTAGTAAAGGCTATAAGCACAGTCAGTAACACACGAGTAAATTTCACTCTGCTGAATACTGCTAAACACTGTTGGTGCTAAAAAAAAAAAAAAAAAAAAGGAAAGGAAAGGACTACAAATTAAAACCTGCAAAGCCTGTCAAAAGAATCTCATTTTAAAATATTTTAACTTCTAAATCTCAATGTTAATACTTTACTACAGTACATCTTCACTTATAAGCTTTTAAATGCCTGAAAATTCAGCTGCAGAAAACATTATAAAACAAAACCTATGTTACTTAGCAACAGGAAAATGTTTTCCTAAGTTACATTATTATCTCAAAACTAATTTAACTAGCATTTTTTAAAAAAGGATTTAAAGTGCTATTAGCAGAGTCAGAAAACTTAGAATTTCAACAAAGATTCACCAACTTTTGATAATGTAGACATTCTTGAGCTATGCTAAGTTTTGATGTATCATCTGTAAAAAATCATTTTTTCTTCCTACCTCACTGGGACAGTGAAGAGTTTTGAATCATGTATTTCAAAGAGCTGTATTAGCATTCTATCAAGATAAATACAAGGGAAATAAAGCCCCTTGCAATGTCCATTTTTAAAGAAATACCTTAAAAAGGGCTTCCATAAATTATAACGCAGTTCATAAAACTACAACATTAAGAGGTAGACTTCTCTGATATAATCTACCAGAAAATAAGTTCAATTACTTCTAGTTCAACTTCTGGATCTCTTTCTTCTCCTTGTCGACTTCGAGTACTCTAAAATTTCAAAAAAGGTAAATTAAAACAAATACAACCCTGGAGAAATATTAGATAGTATACAAGGCAAAGAATGCACTAACCTAGTTTATTGAATATAGACAAGGATCTATTTTAGAACAAATATGAGTAGAAAAAGAAAGCTATGTCCACTATTTTCTTGCTATTAATGTTATATACAGAAACTTTATTTTAAAATAAAGGTCTCAAATCAGCAACCTTGAAAAATCACAGCACAAAAACAAAAGTCTCATAGTTAATACTAATATTTTTTACACTAAAGTATGATAGTTATAGCTGTTTCACTTGCCAAAATTTCAAGGCAGTGGCACAGGAAAATCTGATAGCAGATGTGGGTTCTGGACCTGAAGCTACTATACTCCCCAAGTATATGCCCTTAAAGTAAGACTGAGACAGCTTCACTTGACTTCTGTGAGCTGTATTTTCTTCTACCAAAAGTGGGGAAGTATGTGTTGTGTTGTGCTATTGTACTACTGGAGATGGAAACTAGGCTTTTACAATAAGCTACATTCCACTCTTTTTTAAATTTTAAGACAGTCTTGCTAAGTCACTAAGGTGCCCAGGCTAGGCATCAACTTGTGATCCTCCTGACTCACCTCTCAGAGTACTTGGGATTACATGCCTGTGACCCATCTGCCAGTGTGCATCTAATTTCCTAATTCATAGAATAATAGGAAAAAATTTAAAAAGAGACTAACACTCTAGTATTTACACTTCTACTGTCATGTACATGTAAAATAACAGCAGAAATATAGCATCTTTCCTGTCTCTATGAGAAGCAAACCACCAGGATCAACACAGCTAAAGGGTGGGAGCTCAGCCTTCAACGACTGGTGATGTTACCAGATGCTCAGCTCCCCCCGCCGTACAGCAGTCCCAATGTTGCACTCACTCCTATACCTACAGAGGTAAAGAGGACAGTCTTTACCTATGAGCAACTCTACAATTCTAAAACTCTACAACCCTAGTGGAGAAAAATATATTCTTAAAATAGCCTACTAAAAGTCAAAAACACTGACAAAAAAACTGAAAGTTAATTTTCAACACTTGAACATGACATTAGTTTATCAAAAACTATTTAACAGTTTTCAGATTCACTAACAAACTGCTACACATAAAAGAAACCACATGGTTCTATCTACTCTAGCTAATTTGTGTGTGTGTGTGTGGTGTGGACTGAACCCAAGTTTTTTTGTGCATGCAAGGCAAGTGCTCTACCACTAAACCATATGCCCAGCTCTATACTAGCTAATTTTAATTAACGTTAAACTGACATTTAAGAACACAACAGCCCTATATCAATGTGCAGAGAAGACAGATACCTTTACTCTTCTTTGCATGTCATCCTCCACATCCTTTAGCATGCCTAGAAAGAGAAACAATTACTTTTAAAAAGGAAATAAAATGCGAAACTTGTAAATTATCTTTATAAGTGGTTTTACCTGTAACTCGAAGATCTGTCACACTGTTAGCCATTTTAAATCCATAAGTCATTGACTGAAAATCTTCCTGCACAAAAACAGAAATAATTAGACCATTGAATAGTAGCAAAATCTTTACATTTCTCTCACAAAATCACTATTTGACAATAGGAGAACAGAAATGGAATGTCATTCAGCTTGCCCTGACATCTGATATCACACCTTTAAACCTTCCCTACAGGAACACACTTAAAACCCCAGTGTTTTCTCTGCTCTTAGTTGCCTGTCTTTGGACAATTTAAGTATATCTTCATTTCACATGTCCATTTTTCAAATAAGGCTAATGCTTATGAAAATATCACAGAACAGTAATTTCCACTTATAAAGTGTTCTAACATTCATAAATGAACATGTGTAATAATTACTGCTTGATGACAAGATTGCAAGACTTAGAGAAAACTTACCTTAAAAATAGTGTCTGCATACACTATTAAACTGCAAAAGCTAAGCCTTCTCACACAGACTTACCAAAATGATAGGAAAACCATGGTCAACAGCTCATAGTAAAGAAAAACAGATCCCCAGTTCCCAAATCATGTTTTAAATGAATCCACTGCTGAGTCATGAAAAAATTAGGTCATTTGCTGGACTCATTCAACCAAAAAACTAAGTGGCATACTTGTTTTAATCATAAGTTGATTTTTCTGGCATATTATAATTCCCATAAATATGTACAGAGAAACAACATAATAAAGTAATAGTAGTTACAGAAATAGTCAGAATTGCAACAAAATTTCTAGGCTTTTAAAAAAATTGTGAGCGGCTGGGGATTTAGCTCAGCAGCATAAGTACCTGCCTTGCAAGCAGGCGGTTGTGTGTTCGATCCCCGGTACCCATAAAAAGGAAAAGGACAAAAAAAAAAAAAAAAAAAAAAAAATTTTTGAGCATGAAATTCATGGTAAGTACTGTATCTCACAATCAGAATAACAAAAACCCCACAGTATTCTTGGTCTCAAGAGAACTTACAGGCCTTGCAGGACTCACATGATTAACTCTTTAAAATCATTAAGTGGAGGCTGGGGATAAGGCTCAGGAGCACAGCGCCTGCCCAGCAAGCACAAAGTCCTGAGTTTGATTCCTAGTATAAATGAATAAATCATAAGTGATATTGTAGAGCTATCAGCTTATCCTCTAGGTGTTTATACTTTATGTCTACTTAGACATGAATGAAAGAAGATCCTAAAGTTTTACATCCCCAAAGGGAGACCACAATGGACCTCTGGAAGTGATATGACCTAACTCTCAGACAATCCACCTGCCTATGACAGTGCATAGATTACAGCAGAAACAAGTGTAGATGGTAGATCCGTCTGGAAGAGATTATGGCAGAGCTGGAGAAGACCTAAACTAGACAGAGTTGTGAAAGGGTGAGGTGTGGTGAGACTAGACTTTGAAAATGGAACCTTACGTGTTTTCTGAGGGATGTGATATGAACATGGGAAAGTGAAGGACTGCATGATAAATGCTAGGAAATTAAGACATTAAGGGGTCCTTTTGGTGATGTAAAACTTTAGTATACAGTACTTAAGATGAATTTGATGCTCACTGTTTTTCTTAGGAATCTAGGAATTTTGTTGTAATTCTGACCCCTCTTGTCCCCTTCTCAGGACTAGCTGCTAACCACTCATGTTAGCTACACCACACTCTTTATCTTCTTGTTACATACACGACACGTATCGTGCCTCATCAGGACTTTTGTGTATGTTGATCTCACCTCAAAATAATTTTTTTGGAAACATTTACAAGGGGGCTGGGGATTTAGCTCAGCGGCATAGTGCCAGCCTTGCAAGCAGGCAGTCGTGAGTTCGACACCTGGTACCGATAAAAACGAAAAAGACAAAAAAACATTTACAAAAACCTATCCTTTACTATATTCCAGTTTCTGTTCTAATGTTAACTATTCTAGATTTTCTCTATGCAACCTCTACAGCAGTTTACATCCCCTTAGTCTAATGTTACTCTTTTTCATGGAACTCAATACCACCTGACATTCTGTTTGCTCACGCACTGATTATTTTATGATAAGAAATGTGTAATTCAAGAGGCCAGAGCTTTGTTTTATCCACTGCTTTATCTTTGGGGCTCAGAATAGTGCTGGGCACAAGGCACCAAACTGCACAGTAGACATATGTACACATGATGCGAACTACAAGGCACTGGCAAAACACAGGAGGCAGGCTGCCTTCCTACACACACCAGCTGGCTACCAGACACAGGTGTGCTCAACACAGTAGCAAACAGGGAATATGTGATTCATTAAACTACCGCAGCTGCAGCAAATATACACACAACCCATGTGCAAGACTCCTAATTCTTCAGAAGAAAAATCTATGTATTTGAAAGAAGGTAAAATCTAATTTTGAAAAACTGAAGGCCAACATGGTATAGAAAAAAAAACAAAAGTCTAAATTTTAGCTGTCAACTGATGGTATGCCAAGTACAGTCTAAGAAAACTATCCTTCTGAGGTAGTATCACTGGTACTATGTAACAAATACAAGCCTTAAACTGGGCATGCTGGCACATACCTGTAATCCTACTGCTCAGGAGACTGAGACAGGAGGAGCAAAAGTTCATGTTGTGCCTGGGCACACAGCACGATTCATTAAAAAAAAAAAAAACCAAAAAACAGTAACAAGAATTCAGCCCAAGTCACTGAAAAGACTGACAGCAGAAGAGTCATGAAAACAGACTGTTGCTACTAAAAGATCGCTCTGGAAGCTCTGTGGACAATCATCAGTGAAGACCAGATACTGACTCTATTGATAAATAGACCAAGCATGAAATGATGGTGACTTGGACAGGGACCGTGTAACCCTGGGATAGGAAGTTACTAAATTCAGATTAGAAGGTAGCGACAAGTACAAGGGAAAGTATATATAATGGATTTTGTTTTTGTTTTTTTTGGAGATAGGTCTTACTATGTTTTAGTCTGGCCTTGAATTCACTATGTAGACCAGGCTGGCCCCAAACTCATGACTCGCTTACCTCAGCTTTCCAGAGTGCTTAGATTACAGGCATGTACCACCATTACTGGTTCATCTTTAGGTTCTAAGTATGGATAACTGATCAAAGGATAGTACTGTTTCTTAAAATGAAACAGACTTTGGAAAGCATTTTTTTTTTTGGTACCAGAGATCAAACTAATGACCTCATGCATGCAATGCAGACGCTTGTGCTGCTGAGCTAAATCCCCATCCCTGGGAAAAACATCTTTAAGGGCAGAAATGGTTTACAATTTTGGTTAAGTTTACAATTTTTTCATTTATTCGAGTGAGGATCTCAATAGGATATCTGCTTCAATCTAAAAGGCAGAGAAGGAATCAGGATTAAAGACGTATTTGGACATCAGTGCACAGTTGGTATTAAAAGCAGATTTAGAGAACATAACCTAGAGAGCATATAGACAAGCAGAATCCTAAAGGAACTGGACTAATCTGTGATGTGGAAGTAAAGCCAAGAATATAATATCCAGAAAAAGTACTGCAAAAAGCAGTCAAGTAGGTCTAACAATGCACACAGGTTTTAGAGAGAATAATGTGAACACAGGATTCAGAGAAATAAAGATGAACTCTCTGTAGGGGTGGTGAAAATTATCATTTATTTTGGTGCTCATTCAAAGAGCTTTAACTAGTGGATACAAGGAGCCCTGGGATCAAAAGAACTAAGATGTTCTGCTTTAAAATGAATGATACTCGGGGCTGGGGATTTAGCTCAGTGATATAAGCACCTGCCTGGCAAGCGCAAGGTTGTGAGTTCAATCCCCAGTACTACCAAAACTAAAATAAATAAAATAAAATAAAATGAAGGACACTAAGAGAAGTTATATGCCAGTAATAATAATACAGCAGTGAAGGAGACACCTGTAATGCAATACAAAGGCAGGTTTATTAACTGCAGGAGACAAGGAGGGATGGAGGGCTGGCAATATAACTCAGGGGCACACCACCTGCTTGACAAGTGCAAAATCATGAGCTTGATTCCTAGCACCAGAAAAAAAAAAAAGGGATATAATTTATGACACAAGTGAAGGGGCTGAATTAAACTGTTTTAGTAATACTTGATTTTAATAGGACAGAGAATACAGTAAACAGATCCTGATATACATAAGCATTTGTGATAGCTAATACTTCAACACAGTCGGAAACAACCTAATGATAAAGAGAAGCACTGGAAGCACTGAGAACTAGGACATGGAAAAGTGTTGGCCAGAACTAAGACATTACACAAGTGTTGGCCAGAATCATCTCCATCTGAGATTTGCAGCCTTAAAGTGAGAACACAGACACAGATGAGTTTTCTCTAGCAGCTCCTGCTGCTTGGGTACAAGCAGGAGTAGGCAGACGGCTGGGGTTTTGTCAGGTAAGTGAAGGAAATGATAGAAGGGATCAGAAAGCTAGGGATGTGATTTCAGCAAATGATCATGGTATCGAGGATTTAAAGAAAGTAACAGTAATACACAGGCAGCATCCATAAATTGGAGTTAATAATAATAGGAAAAATTGGGAAAAGTACAGAGAAATTTAAGCAAATAAAAAAGAACAGATACTTATCACCTCCAAAAGAGGAAAACTTTTGTATAAGTGGAAGTAAAGGCATACATTATTTGGACTCATCTGCCACTCACATTTATATAATCTTTTTAATATCTGAACTGATTTAACCAAAAACTGAATTACTATTTGGAGAAAGCAGATAATATATTATAAATTATTATATATTATAGCTTAAATTGTAAAATATGGGTCAGGGATATAGTTCAGTGGCATAAGCACCTGCCTAGCAAGCACAAGGTCCTGAGTTTGATTTCCAGTACAAAATAAATAAATAAAATTATATAATCTTTAAATCAAATAAAATAAATTTCTTATCCAGAAGTAAGGGAAAATTATTAAGAGAAAGCTAAAATAGCAATATTATTAATGAAATCAGAAGGGAAGGACACCGAACTATTGTTCTTTGTATGTCTTGTACTTTTTTAAAAAGTATGTGCAAGTGCTGTTACTACTTTTGTTAAAACATACATGCAAGTGAATCAGACACACCTATCAACATTGCATTGTTTCTCTGGTATAAAAAAAAAAGAAAAAGGAAAAAATGGAAAAGAAGCTTTTGTAAACGGGAAGGGACTAAAGGCAAGGTAGGGGAATGGGAAAAACAAGAATCAAGTTACATCACATACAGGCACAAAGTCTCTATGATAAATTTGACCACTATGTACATCTAACATGTACTAAAAAAAAAATCATACATGCACACTTCAGAAAGAATTCTGAAGTAACAAAACTAAATATGATCAGATTACCTATTTTTAGGAAGACAACTGTTGTACATATGGAGAATGGACTAAACAGAAAAAGTGGGCCAGAAAAAGGAGTTCAGAAAATCTCACAGGAATCTAAACCTACAGTAATGCACCAAATAAATCAAGAAAAAAATGAGAGAGAAGAGGGAACAGAGCTAGATTCAAGATTTTGGCAAATTACACGAATTTGAATGTAGGAGTTAGAGAAAAGAAGCAAAGACACGAATAAAGATGTCACTTTGTAAGATACACAATCAAGAGGAAAAACAGTTTGATGGTGTTGGGGAATTATAGTTTTCATTTTGCACATGTAAGATATTAAGAAAAAAATGTTTTAAGTGGCTGAAAATGTTTCAAGTTCAGGAGATATATCTAAGAATAAAATATTCTGTTAACTAGGACCTTAAGCCACGTACGAGTCAAACAAATAAACAGCTTGTTCATTATCCTGAAATATATAAATCATTCTTATTTGCTCATTTTGAGCTTCCTTAAGCATTTTTCCAAGGCAAACAGCATGTTTTCTAATTATAAAACTAAGGTACACTTACTGAAGATCTAAAAAATCTGAAAAGTTCTTTCCTGTCCAGAAGTTAATCTTGGATTGTATTTCTTTCCATTTGTTGAATACACTGTATGCTGCATTTTTAACTGCTTTCAAGTATGCCTTTTCCTTGCACACTAAACATGCTATATATTCAATCACACTAAAAGCTATTATTATTCAGTATATATATTAAATGATCTGTGCTTTATTTCAGTTATAACCTTAGCAATACACTTTGGATGATAGTCCTGTAATTATTCACTACTGAAAAATCTTGATTAACACATTGAGGCATAAAGGGCCTGCATTTCTTTTTTTTGGTCTTTTTCCTTTTTATCGGTACCGGGGATTGAACTCATGACTGCCTGCTTGCAAGGCAGGCACTTATGCCGCTAAGCTAAATCCCCAGCTCCAAGGGCCTGCATTTCTAATTATTCCTATCAGGCTGAGTTCTAGCATGCAATAACTAGTTTAAATGTTATCAAAATAATTAAGCATCTTGTCATACAGATTGTTAAATTCTTTTCCAAAAGAGCTATGCTAATGCATTTTCACTGGTTAAAAACTAAAGTGCCAACATTAAATATTCTCATTTAAAATTTTTATAGATGAAAAGTGAACTGATTAATTTAATTTCCTAGACTGTACTGAGGGTAAATTTTCTGCCATTTAGGTCCTTCATCTATAATATATATAGACAAGCAATTATAATTTCTTCTAGTACTAAAACATTTTGTTTTTCTCAAAGTAATATAGACACATAATAAAAATTTCAACATTACAAACAGCAAAAGTTCTTGGTATCCAGTTATTCTCCTATTGATATATGAAAGATCTATGTATTCCCCTTTTAAAAAAAGAGAGAAAGAAACATTAACAAGGTATATATGGTTTTCTACATCTGACTTTTCTTATTCTGGAGAGCTAATATTAACTGTACACATAAAAACTACACACTTGATTGTGTAACTTTTTACTTTCATTATTGAGGATAAAGCCCAGAATTTTGCACATTGTTAGGGAAGCACACTACCACTACCTTCCCCCAGCCCCAAGTGTAACACCTTTTAATAAGTCTACTGAAGAATACTGACATTATTTCAAGATCTTAATTATTATACACAATTTCACAATATCCTTGTATACAGGTCTTTATATACGAGGGCAAATATTTTTAGGAAAAAGTGCCTGAAATGAAACTGCTCAGTCAAGATAAGTGCATTTTAAATTACAGGTATTATCATCCTGTTCTTCTAAAAAATAGTAAGGGTTTAAAATCCATCAAAAAGGATGAACCTTGCTTACAGAATGCCTAGTGTCAATAAACATATACAGTGGGTACTAGAATTACAAATATCTTCATTTTCCAACCATCACAGTAAAGATTACTCCAGGCAAGTTATCATTAATGGATGTTAAGTATAAAAGGAGAGACTTTAAAAGAGTTAGACGTTTTTGTGACCTTAAGTCATTTCCCAAAGAACTGCTTCACAACAAGGGGAAAAAAATAGTAGTAATATAGTAATGGACAACACCTTGATGGAGTGATCAAATAACACCACCACTGAAGAGCAACCGGACATGGTACACCTCCAGATGCAATAACCTTACATCATATTCCGAACTGCAAAATCTAAATCTAACTGTGAGGAAAGAGTACACAAAAATAGTACACAAGACCCAAGTGCATTCTATTTAAAAGGAGAAGCAAGAGGTCATATACTCATCTATGTCACTACACAAAGAAAAGCTGAGTCTGCTCTAGCCTAAAGGATACTAAAGAGCTATGTGGTTTGCAGTAGGGCACAATTCTAGACCAAATTCTGTATTACAGAAGGAAAAGAATGCATGAAGGGCTGAGTCAATCGACAATCAAGGAACACCAACAGTGCCTTGTTTTGCTGAGACTGGTAACTGTGATGTGTGTATAGGAAAGTGCTCTTTCCCTTAGTAGATGCATACTGAGGCACTCAGGCCAAAGAGATAATAATGTGTGCCGCTTATTCTCCAGTGGTTCAAGGAAACCATTAACATGATACATTATAAAAAGTTTCTAAAGTTTGCCAGTAATATGTAAAAAAAAAAAAAAACCACCTCACCATTTTAATTTGGATTGCATGACACAAGATTGAACATTTTATCCTTAAAAGTCACTTTATTTTCTCTGAACTACTGTTTCCTGATTTTTAAACATATTTGTATCCTTACAGTATTTCATCTACCTGCAAGATGTGAAATGACAATTTTCAAGAATGTTATCCAACTATTTTAAGACTATTTTTTTAAATGAATCCTTACCCTGTCCCACTGATTTTAATGTCCTTATATTTTGAAAAAGTAAGTATTTTTTCAAATCTGTATTGTATTTCTCTTCTCATTATCTTAAACCACTCTTCTTAAAACTCCATCTATTTGGATAAGGTCTTTTATAGCACTCATACCAATACAGATATTTAGCTAAATAATAAATGAGTGTTTAAAAAATAGTATTTCACTAATAACTCACAACCTATACATACCAATGTGCACAATCATATTAGGCACAAATGTAATTATTCCCGCATACATAATACAAATTTAAGAAAATTTCATGTACAATATATAGAACCATTGCTGGAGCCTGAGATAATTATTTTGGATCAGGAATAGCATTCAAAAGGAACTTAACAATTTCAAAGAATGGAAGAATCCACCAAAAAAATTATTATTAACAACTGCAAATGTGATCTCATTCTCTCTTACAACTATCATCATTTGAAATTTTATTTTTTATAAGAAAAAAAAGGCTAAAATTCTTTTGTGTGAGGTACTTAGAACTGGAGGAAATATCTTCTCTAAAAACATGCTTCAGATTGTCCTTTGCTCTTATCTAAAGCCTGAAAGCAGAGCCTTTTGTTAGGCCAGGGTTATGACTTGATTACAGGGTCAATCTCCCCAATCTCAGACTAGTCTTCCGCACACATGGATATTCAATGAATGGGATAAAACAAACAGATAAGATGAAAGCCCTTTGTCGAAAACTTGGTTATTTTTGCTATTACAAGTAGCAACATCAACACTTGTTTCTTGAGATGGGGCCCTACTATGGTGCCCAAGCTGGCATTGAACTCTTGGCTCAAGCAATGTTCCCACCTCAGTCTCCCATGAAGCTGGGACTTCAGGCACAGCCTCCATGCCTAGCAACAGGATTGTCTTTAAAAGCTATCTTAAGCTATACATGCACACAAAAATAAGAATCATAAAACCATTTAAATATATCACAGTAAAAAAAAAATGGTCAATAAGCTTCAGGAATTCTTATATTAAAAAACCTTACTTCTTCAAAAACGGCAGCTTTGTTTACTTTTTCCCTTGCAATGTCACAGATTTTCAAGATTCCCAGAGCAAATGCCTTCATAGGAGGATCTTCTATAAAGTCTGGATTATGAATGTAAAGGCACGTAAATACAGTCTGTGCCAAGGAATGGCCTTCCAACCATGTTATCTATAAAGAAATAAAAGAACATACATATTTAGTGTTACAGAGTCTGTGAAGTCTAAACTGATCCAAAAGACAAGAGACCTGAGTAAATGTAAGATTAACTGAAAGATTTAAAAAGGAATTAAAGGAAGGATCAGGAGAAAACTACAGAGTTAGAATTCATTTTCACTAAAGTTTTTAAAATATCATATACAGGCTGAATATCCCTTATCTGAAGTGGTTAAGATCATAAGTGTTTCAGGGTAGAGTTTTCTGGCTTTGGAATGTTTGCACACAAATCCATAGGTTCAGTGTGCCTGATCTGAAATCTGAAATGCTCTGATATCTCAAATTTTTTAAATAGCATGACAGTGCTTGAAAAGTTTTAGACTTTGGGTTTTTAGATTACAGATACTTAATCTGTAAATATATTAGATTCTATTCTCTTTGCAATACACCTGAAGACCAATAAGCATCTCATGTTGGATTAAAAAACAAACAAGTCCACAATGTTGTCAATAAATTGCATAAACTGGCAAATTCATGATTTTAGAACTAATCATGTTCTTTCAACTCTTCATGCTCACCGTCACTAACTCATCAACATCATATCTTACCTAGATTATTGCAGGAAGTTACGCCGTGCTTCCCCTACCTCTTATTGCAAATTTAGTACTTCCAACCAGGATGATCATTCTACAACACTAAGATTAACACACCAATAATAATCAAAACTGAGAAACTATTAGTCCCAAGGATTATGCCAAGTACAGTCATTTGACATACTCATTTCCTTTACATGTAAACAAATAGCCAGAGTTTAAATAATTCTCCCAAGTTTATACAGGTACATTTTACACTATGGCCCAAGGAATTCTGCAGTAGAGCAATACATATATTACTGCATTAAAACAGGAGGAAATAGATGTGAAAAATATTCTAATTAAGGTACGTTATTTGGAATAACTATGGCACTGGAGAGAGACTGTGCAGTTAAAAACCATGTGCCTTTAAAAGCCCAAACTGTTTAATACAGTCCTCCTGAGTCTCAAATAGTTTCTCAACTTTGGCAAACACCGCTCCTCAGTTTACCTTTTCATCTTCTCTCTCTAGTCTTATACTCTTCCCAGTTGGCTCCCTGTCAGACTTTGGGCACCAACAGCTGTTTCTGAGTGCTGCAACAGGACTCTGCCTTCCCCGTATAACACTTCGCCTGCAATAGTCTTAACCCTTTTGTCACATGCCTATTAGTCTTTAGTACTTCATATCAGTATCATTCTTTTCTAAAGGCTTTATTTCCCCACCCTAGACATAATGATCCCCTCCTTTCTGCCCTCATGCAACCATTATGAAAGCGCATACGAAAACGCAAGTCATCAGATTGTCCCTAGCAATCCTCCCTTCTTTTCCCTTCCCTACACCACAGAATTGTAAACAGATAAAAGGTATTAAAAATGACTGTGAGGGAAATTCATTTTTGGAGGACAGAAGATCAGGAGTAGAATTCTGGCTATGCCTCTTCCCAAGGCAATGTAAGAAAAACAGGTTGCTATATACATAAGCTTAAGTGAAAAAATTAGGCATGTAAAACAACTAAGGTATGTGTACTCCTAATACTCAGCAATCGATCCTTGCTGAATGAATAAATGAGTAAATGTTATATATTTCTAACGACGATTTAAAGCCAAAAAGAAAAAGGAAGGTTAGATGGGGACACAGTACAAAAGAAAAATTTTCTACAATTAAACACTGCCTAAGGGAGACACACACCCAGAAAGCATAAATCACTAAAAAATTTTCTTCACAGAACTTCACATCACAATTATCCAAGACTAGTAGCAAAGAATTTTCCCAGGCCAATCCAAATCTGTTGTTTTGATTATGCTTATCTTATGGAACTCACAATTAGGTTTATTTCTCTGGATAACTTGAAAACAAAAAGGAGTTTGTCTTCGTTGTGTTGTGGATCAAATCCAGGGTCTTATGCATGCAAGATAAGAACTCTACTACTGAGCCACATCCCCAGACCTCAAAAAGGATACACTGAATAATACTATCTTCATTGAAATAAAAATTATTTCTTTGCCCAGAAAATGAGAGTTGTAGAAGCACCCAGACGGAAGATGCAATGCTTGTTCCTGTGATACAAATTGGCTTGCTAATCGTTTATATAACTCACTAGACTCAACATTACATACAGCTTGTGTTTAACACTAGTGTGTACTTTAAATTCAAATATTCAGTTAAGATACAGATTTTTAATTAGTTAACCAACAATCTTATTTTAATTCTTACCAAACAGCAAAAACATGTATCCATTATCCCTATCAATTCAGGCAGGGTGAGGTCTTTAATTTTAATGGTGCCATCCTAAAAAGGAGGGGAAATGTGATATATAAGCAGAAATTGTTTAGATTTATGGTTACTATATACAGTAGCATTTTAGATTTCAAAACTCAGACATGTAAAAAAGAACAATTCTAAGAAAATTCTGCCTCATTATCTAATAAAACTACGATACTAAGTTGATTTTGTATTCTTAAAAATATTTATTTTTAATTGACAAATAATTAGAGAAAATAGACTTACTTTATTTATTTATTTATTTATTTATTTATTTATCTTTTTGAGACAGAGTCTTGTTAAAAGTTCAAGCTGGCCATGTGCTCACTTTGTAGCCCAGGCTCCTATTGAACTTGTAACGATTGCAAAGGCTAAGCCTCCTGAGTGCTGAGACTACAGGCATGCACCACTACACCCAGCGAGAAAATATACAGGTCTTCAATAAAATAAAAACCTCTCTAGTTTGAAATAATACTTTTACAATGCAATAAAAAATAAAAAAAGTATTTTAATAGCACAGTTCAAATCAAGTAATAAGTATTTTAATGACTCAAAACTACTTACCAAAAGTAAGTAGTTTTAAAACACTGTACTTTCCTAAAGTTGGTTGACTATACTATTTGTAAATTTTGCTTGTAGTATCTATTTGCTAGCCAATCTCTCTTCATAAAACATAAAATTAAATTCTGTGGCAATGACAAGTTTCTAAATCAGTTCTCATTGAGTAAATTTTAAGTTCATAATCATAACCATTTTGCTTGTTATATTAATATATTACATGCACAATCTAAGCCAGTTATTCTGGTATTCGATTATATTCTCACTTTTAAAAATTAATTTTAAAATACAAATCTGTACCTTTAAAACAAGTTTATAGTAGAAAACCTTGAATAATTCATTTCTAGATTTCAATATAGGTAACTAAAAAGGTCACAACTAATTCTTGTTTAGTATTTGTGCTTTTTAAAAATATACTTTCAACAAATATATTGTTTGGTTTTATTATTAAACATGTTGTTTTAACATATAAAAGATCACAGAAAAGACAACAAAGTATAATGCTGACTACCTTGATAGCTTGTTCAAAGTTGAGAACTTTTCGATTAACTTGGTTTCCAATCATGCCAGCATCCATCTTGGGATCCATCATTTCAATAGCAGACATGGCTTCAAAAAGACCAAATCTGCAAATACATTAAAACACAAACTGTTTCTGAACCTAAAATCCCACAACAACAGAAATTATCAATAACTTTAATAACTATAGTATGCTATATATTTAGTCTATTTCTAACTTGCTAATAGTTCTTAGTTAACCAACAATGAACACAAAAATTCTTTCATATATTTCCACTCAAATTATTTTACATGCTCTATGAGGAAGAAAAGAACTTAAATGTTTTCATACTTGCTTCAAAAACACTGTGCATTAAACTTACACAGGGTAGCACATTTTGGGCTAGGTAAGCCCAAAATTCTTGGATGCTGAAGCAAGAGAATCACAAATTCAAGCCCACCTGGACTACATAGTGAGTTCAATGCCAACCTCAACTACTTAGCAAGACCTTGTCTCAAAAAACCTTTGAAGAAAAAAAGGGGATGTATAACAGATTTCAGTTTGCCTCCCTTAAATCATTTTCTATAACATTCAGAAAGTTGTATTTGGAATGATCATTATAGTGTGTAACTGTTTTTCATTTTCTTCTTTCTTGAAAAAGAATTAATCTGGCACCTTTAACCTACAATGCCCAAAATTTTGGCAATTACATAATGAAAAATAGCCAGGTGTGGCGGCACACGCCTGCAATCCCAACACTCAGAACACTGAGGCAGGAGGATCACCTTGAGTTTGAGGCCAGCCTGGGGCCACATAAGTGAGTTCAAGGCAAGCCTATATCACATAGTGAGACCCTGTCTCAAAATAAGCAAACAAACAAAAAGAAAAACAATCTAGAAATCTCAATATTTTGGTATTTGTGGCTAACTCATCTCAAAAGTACACAGTTGTGATATACTATAACCTATAAGTATGGTGTTAATCAAGATACAATTCAAGAAATGGAAAAGGAAATGAAAACACTGAAAGAAAGCTCAAGCAGCCAGTTATCAAGCTACCAACTTCCTAAGTCATTTCAGTACTGAAAAAACACAGGCATCTAGCCCATCAAGTTAAGTAATTTCTTTCATATAAAAAGTAGCAGTAAAATATCAAAAAAGAACTTTAAAACACTCTTGCCCTGAAATCCCTCTATACTTCTCATGTTTCAATCAAAGATAGTCTGACAATATGATCATATGACACTATTACTAAAGATATTTTTCATGCACAAACTTGACTAGCAATTAACCAAACCTAAATGCTACTTTTCAAAGACCTTCTGAAGTTAAAAGAGAAAATATACAAGAATAGAAGACAATTTTGTCAATAAAAACAATACAGTCACTAAACACCATATAATACTTTAAAACTACAATAGCTAAAGGTGGGGGGGGCAGGGATTTATGTACAGGAGCCAACTCCACACAAGGAATTTAAACATCATGTACTACAAACATGCACTAAAAATTTTTTATACATACATTTGCCATAATGATCACAATCATCATGGGGATTTGTATCTATATGTAACATATCTTCCTTTTTTCCCCCATGCCACTCCCCTTTGGTCAACCTTTTCCCTCCCCACTATAAAAACTGTTCTCAGTTATTCCTTCTATTCACTCTCTTTTTTTAAAATTCCTGTTCCCTTCTGTCCCTTCTTCCTCCCACTCCATTGTTTGCTTTCTCATTTAAATAAGTTCTTTCTAATTTTCCAAGGTGTATCCTCCACTTTACTCTGTATGTATTTACCCTTTGGGTTTCTACACAGCAGGTATGTGGTATTTGAGATTGTGTTTCTGCATTTATTTCACTTAAAATTATGGTCTTGAGATGCATCCATATATCTAAATATGTTTCAAGTTTATCATTATTTATGGCAGAATAGTACTCCATAGTATTATTCTGTACATAATAGTACATAAATATCACATTTTCTTTATCCCTTCATTCATTAATATATGGGTTGTTCCCAAATGGCTAACCATCTGGAAAAAATTAAATCTTTCACTTATACAATTTTAAAAAAATAAACTTCAGACAGATTTAAGTTCTAAAGGTAAAACAAGTAAATTAACTACTCTTCAATAATGTATAAAGCTATAAAGGAAAAGTTGGTAACAATAACTGCAGAAATACTTTAAATCCTTAAAATAGATCAACAACATCAAATTTCTCATCAGGGAATTTATTAGCAACTAAAAGTCTATGGTCCCACACCAGACCTAATAAACATGGAACTTTAGAGATGCAACTCAGCAATGTGCATTTTTTAAAGTCCTCCAGAGGATTCCAATTTATGGTAAAATTTGAGAAGGACTGAATTTCAGACCCTGTGCCCACAGTGTCCAATCTTGTTCATTTACTAATTCAAAATTTCACATTCCTAACTTTGAAAATGAAGACTGTCCATAGTAGAGAAACTGATGCTTTCTAAGGGAGTATAATTAGACATTTCCTTTTATTTTACTGATTTTTTCGTGATATTGAGGATAAACCCGGGGTCTTCCCATTAATATACATCTACATTCCCTTTTCTATTTTTTATTTTCACCCAGATCTCACTAAGTCATTAAGTTGCCCAGGCTGGGCTCAGCACTTCAGATCCAGGTCTCCCTAGCTCAGATAGATTACATGCAAGTGTCACCACTCGTAGCCCATTTCTTTCACAGTATTTTGCATTTCCAAGGATTCTCAATAGAGGTATTTAATCACCAAATATTTGATCACCAACCTCTCATACATAGCAAACATCTGGTATCTTTTCTCTAAGAAATTCCATATGCAGTACATCTACCCTCAAGAAAAGCACCGTAAGTACAGTTCTACTAAGTATAGCCATTTCAGTTCCCAAGTAGGGTCAGCTGCTCCAAAGTAGCCCACCAAAGTTAAAAATAGGTTCATAATTCATTTTTAACAGTTTTGAAATATAACCTTATCCAGACTTCAAGGAATACTACACCACACAAGAAAAGAAAGATTAAAGTATCACACTACACTATTTCCAAGGACACATATACATACTTACAGTTTATCATGAAGCAATTCTCCCAGCTTTAATTCTGAAAGAAACAGAGACAAATCCTTTGAATATATTTATATCAAAACTTTCAATTCCAAACAGGAATTTTTAAATACATAAGCAGCTGAAGAAATGTCTCTGCATTGCTATTAAAATTAAGAAATGGTTATATCTACTCAATAATTAGTATGTTTTCTATAGACTACCTAAATATGGAGAATACTATAAACCAGTAGTGGTGAACCTATGGCATATATGTTATTATTTTTTGTTTTTCTAAGACAAAAGATGTTTACATTGAATTGGATTTTTCTGAGTCTTTTTTGTTTTTGACACAGGGTCTCACTACACAGTGCAGGCTGGCCTTGAACCCACAATGCAGCCCAGGCTGGTCTCGAACTTGAGGCAAACCTCCTTCCTCAGACTCCTGAGAGCTGGGATGACAGATGTGTGCCACCATGCCTGGTAAGAATTGTTTCTTTCTAAATGAAAACCTTAATATTCAGGTTTAATTACAGTGTTGGCACTTTGTGATAAATAAGTGGGTTTGGAGTTGCAGTTTGCCACTCCGTCTCTGAAAGGTTCACCATCATTACTATACATCAAAGTGATTTAAGAAAAGCAATAGATTTTTTAGAATTAACACATAACCTACCATGAGCCATAATATTCCAGTCAGAATGACAAATTTAAAAATCATTTTTGAATGACATAATTATACTTCTCCTCATAAACTTTTGTATTTCTTAAACTGCACTGACTATCCAGAAACTAGTCTCTCTTTGCTCCAAGAACAGCATCAAAATAACTTAAAGTTCCATTTTCTTTAAATAACACAGGAAACACTTAAATAAACAGCTAATGAAAATGGTATCCACCATTAAGCAGCAGTCTTCAATCTTGCTGCACTTTAGAATCAATTAGGTTTAGGTTTAGTGAGAGGTCCCACAAAAGCCCTATTTAATCTGTAATATAGCTGTAATACAGCTGATATCTAGAATTATTGAATAAATGGTATTTAGGTAGAATAATTAACATTTATTCCTTGGTAAAGATGGCTAACTGATCACATGCAACCAACTTTCAGTGCTTTCAGGAAATGCCATTAATTCAAGAGGAAATTTTTTTTAAAAAAAGGACAAAAACCTCAAAGAGGAAAAACAGGAGAGTAAAAGATAACATTATGAAAACCAGTGAAATTTAGAAAAACAATTTAGTTTCTTAACAGACCCAGGAAAAATTGAATTCTGAATCCAAAGTGGGAACTGATTTATCACTTATTTTTGGAAATGAGGGTAAAGAAGGGCTAAAATATGAAAGACTAGGCTGTCAGATTTTCCCATGCCCTTGCCCAAATAGATGACCTTCTGTCATCCTAGGCAACCTGAAGATTTTCTTTGGAGGGGTTAATAAAATAAAGTTTCCAAGATAATTTGAAGGTCAGAGTACAGTACTGGAAAGAGAATTAAGTGACCACGTAAATAAGCAATCCAGACTACTCCCCAAACCTACCAGGATCAAGTCAGACTGTCAAGCAGTACCCACATGCCTGCATTCTAATAGCTGAAAATGACTTGAGCCTTAAGCAAAAGTCCCTTGAAATACAGTTAGCCCAATAACAGTAAGAGTAGGGGAAAACCACCAATCTAAGTATTCCACAACACCAGTGCTGCCTAACCCTACTCTGAAAACATTCTTGATGACACAGAACAAGCAAAACCATTTTTGTTTACAAAAAAAAATCACTGTAAAAAGTTTACATGATATCCATTCTTTTCCTCTTAGAATAAAGTAGTAAATAGCAAACTCCTAGAATGATTATCAAATGATTAAGAAAAGTGAAAGCTATCTATGAGAATCTTATAAAGAATCTACACTTTTGGGGCCAGGGATTTAGCTCAGCAGTGTAAGAACCTGCCTGGCAAGACCAAGGTCATGAGTTCAATCCCCACTACCAAAGAATAAATAAAATAAAATAAAATAAAATAAAAAGAATCTACACTTTTGCTGTGGAAATGCTGTGTCATCAGGTCAATGATAATCTTTTTAAAAAAGATAACAAAAGCATATTCCAGACCACTTGGATGGTAACATTACAATCAAGAATCACAATTTTAGCAGCCATGCTTGTGTTTGTAATTATGATGGTTCTAGGCAACTGCCCAAAATGACAGCATTTAACATAATGCAGTGATTCTCAAACTTCTCTAGTTTCAAATCTAAATATTGTGTAACTAGGAAAAATACAATTTAAGAATATTGATTCTTTTGTTTCGTTTGGTCTTCTGCAGTACTGGAAATTGAATCCAAGGTCTCTGCAGTGAACTATATCTTTAGCCACACACTCCCCCATTTTCTTCTTGAGACAGAGCCTCATTTAGTTGCTAAACCGCACAGGTTGAGCTTTTTAATCCTCCTCCATCCACCTACCAGATTGCTGGGATTACAGGTATGCACCATTACACCCAGCTTTATTCATTCTTAATACACACTGAGGACCTTCAAATATTCTGAGTAAAAGAAGATAAAACAGAAAAGAAACAAGAAATATAAGCAACTCATACTTTAGAAAAGGAAAAAAAACACAATAAAAGGAGTTTTCCTAAAGTACTTGGCAGGAGCCAAAGAAACTGGGAAGACTTAAATATAATACAGTATTTGTAACAAGGACTTAACAGAATGAATTAAGGCATCAAAGAGAGAAGAAAATGGGTGAGGATGGACTTGTATCTTTTTAGACTGTAGCACAAAGAGAATCAATGTAAGGATAGCAGACTTTGAATTAGCTCTAGGCTCTAGATAGCTAGAGGCATTATAATCCTAGAAAAGATGCTGGCCATCCACAGGCTAAGAAAGCATCTGGTAGGCAAAAGAAAGTTAAGTGTATGTTATATAATCATGTATGTTTAAATGAAACTTTTAAGTTGTAGGTTTGTAATTCAGAGATCGTCTAAACATGGAAAACATGAATACAGTAGGAGCATCAGAGACTTTTTACAGGTAGTAAAATGGCAAGGTTTAAATCAAGCATGGTTTCCCAGAGAAGGGAGCCTACAAACATTACTTACTAATGTTACCCGTCAGAGAAAATAACAGTGATGGCACTGAATATTCAAAATCATCTGGAAAAAGGGAAAAAAAGTAAGAGCCTCAAGATCGGTTAGGGAGAACATGGAGGGAAAGTATGTCACCTGCCAAACAATGAAAGCAATAAGGAAAATTAAGTTTGTACCTGGATCAGCATCTAAAAGAATGAGTAAAAATGTGTAAGACATTAACTCTGTTGTTAGCAGGAAGATAAATGGAGGCATCATAATCCTAGAAAGAGGATGCTGGCCATCCATTGGTTAAGAGAGAGCATCTGGTAGGCAGAAGAAAGTGAAATGTATGTTACATCATCATACATGTTTAAATGAAATTTTTAAATTGTAGATTTTTAATTTTTTTCCAGTAGTAAGGACTGAATCCAAAATCTTCACCCATTGAGCTACATCCTTAGATCTTTTCATGTTTTATTTGAGTAACAATCTTACTGAGTCACTAGGTTTCCCAGGCTGGGCTTGAATTTGTGATCCTGGTATCTCAGCTTCCCTAAGTGCTGGCTCTGTTTACGGGCATGGAACATCATACTTGTCAGATTATTTAGCAAGAAAAAACAAAATCACTGCCCTAGGTTGACGGCTCAGGGAAGCTCCCCTCAAGAAGCAAAATGTGAGCTGAGGTCTGAGCGATGGATAGAAGGTAAACCCACAAACCAAGGAGGAGAACCTTTCCATAAGGAAAATGCCAGACATGTTGCACACCTGTAATCACAGAACTTGGGAGGCTGAAGTAGGAGAACTGCCGTGAGTTCAAGCTAGCCTAGACTACACAGTGTGCTCAAGGTCAGCCTGAACTACAAAGCAAGACCTTGTCTCAAAAACAAAGTGAGGAAAAACCACATGCAATGGCTCCAGTATGAGGGGAGGAAGAGGACATCAGGGACAATATGGCCTAATACTTTCAAAGCCTAAAAGCTTAGGGCAGAGAGCGACAACAGAGGCCAAGGAAGGTAGGCTAGGCCACATCACACAAAATATACATCACTCTTTTTAAGAAAAATGGTCCAGGAGAACGGTGTGCCAAACATCAATTTGTGTTTCAAAAGTTCACTGTAGTACAATGTAGAGAACAGCTGTGGGGGCCTGGAAAGATTCACATAGGACAATTAAAAGACTATTACTGAAATCTGGGCCTGAGATGATTGCTTCAACTAGTAGGATGGCTGGTCATAAGGAAGACAGAAGTGAATTAATTTGAGACACTGAGGTGGCAGAATCAACAGGACTTGCTAAGAGATTATACATAAGAATAGAGTACAAGGTTTCAAGTTGCATTCTAGAAATGTGTGATGCCTAAATAATAGTGCCATGTGCTGAAATGGGATAAAAAGAAGTCAGGGAAATCCTATTTTGATGGAGAGTAGGGGTAAAATGAGGACTGTGGCACAAGGTGAAAAATCCATCTCCTAATAGAACAAGAAGAGACCTGTATTGAAAATATAAACTTAGAGTCATCATCATTACTGGAGCGTGATTACACTATGGGCATGGAAGACATCAAGTAAAAAAGAAATATAGATAAGAGAAGAGAGCCTAAGCCAGAATGCCTTCATCTAAAGCACTCAACCTATCATTTAAAAGGAAAACACATCGTGAAGAAATTTATGTCCTTAAAATTTTCCTTAACCAAACCTTAAAATCTTAATCTCAATAAGAAACTTTCAAAACCTGCACTTACTTGGCACCAAATGAATCTGTAATGTTTCATTTATTAAAAGACAAAGCATGCCAAAAGAAAAAAAAAATTACCAGAATAGCCAAATACCATCATCTTGTTCTGACAGTTACAGAAACTAAATCATATTTTTTAAAGGATAGTAAAGTCTACGTGAAAAGGTAAAAATGAAGAAAGAGTGAAGGAGAAACTGTCTTTGCAGAACAAGCTTGGGCCAAATAAAAAGAGGAAAAAACTACACCGTAGAGAATGTAGGGCAGACTATCACAAGAAAAGCCATGATAGCCTGAAAGTTTTAAGCTTTCATTTCAGAAAGGCATCAGAACACGTCTAAAATATAATCAAGACTATGAATCTGATTATTTGAAGAAAGAAAGCAGATTACCAATACCAAAAGCTCTAAGCTGTTGAATCTGTAGTCCTAAATAATTCCTTCTACATCAACTTTTTGTTCCAAGAAATATACCTTATTTATGCCACCTTAGATAATGCAAAAGCTAATGAGGAAAAGTTAAAAAGATGATCTGAGTGGCAACAAAATGATGTGCCACTCACTCTCAATCCGTATCAACATGCAGATTAAACTTTATCGCTTACTCAAGGTTTCTTAGAAACATGGCTAATTTATCATGTAACAGAAGTCACACTAAAACAGCTCACCCCCTCCCAAAATTCTGACTGCTTTCTCAGGCTCATTTCTCCTTACAACCCCCTCAAAAAACAAAGAATGGAACTAAAATTGTAGTCAGCTGAGACTAAATTCTGCAGCTTTACAGTCTTCAAGCTATGGCATGCACAACTGTGGGTGTTATGTCCCAGGATATTCAAATAAACAGCATAAAAATTAGTACAGCTGCCGCGTGTTAAATTTATGTGACAATCTGGAAGGGAAAGACCTTGAACATAAATGGCAAGATAGTATAAAACACAAACTGTCCCATGAATTCTTATGATAAAATGTGTGTGTGAGCTGTTTTGAATGCTAAACCATTAACATCTGGGAAGGAGAAGCTGAACAGTATATGTGCTCACTTTTGTTTTCACTAAGGGAAACAACTAAGAAACTCTTGTGTTCCATTCATTACACTGCATTCATTAATCAAGACATACCAACTTATCCCGTGTAACCTTTTTATCCCACTCTAGTCTCAAGTCTTTATCACTTCAAAATGGGGTGGTGCAAAACCTTGTCTGAGGGTATAGGCTCTTGCTATCCCAACCATCAAAGATTATGCTGCTTTCATACACTTATAAATACCATGAGTAACAATGGCAACCATCATCCAGTGCCTATTATAGTAAATCAAGTGCTTTATAGCCACCATCTCGTTTAATCACTTTATTAAGTAGCAGCACTACTTTACAGAGATAGCTAAAACTCAGCTTAAACTATCCAGTTAACTAAATACCTGAGTTGGGACTTCTGCCCATGTCTAACTCAAAAGCCTGTTTAGCTATTTATGCACTGAGAAGATACCATCTCAGTTACTGTACTAAACATGTGGTGCATATACTTTTAAGTTTTAGTTCAATACCCTTAAAATTTTCCATGTTTATAAACCATGTTCAAAAATAAAACAAAATGCAAAAAACCAAAGATCCTCCACTGAAAAATGTTCTGCAGCTAAGCACTCACTTCCCCAAACTAAGCTCTCACTAAAGTCTGGCTCATATAATTCATTTCAGTTTACTAAGATTCCCATACCACCATTTAAAGAAACTCTTTTTCCAGCCAGGCATGGTGGCTCAAGCTTGTAATCCCAGCACTTGGGGGGGCTGCGACAGGAGGATCATTGTGAGCTGGAGACCAGCCTGGGCTACAAAGTGAGCTCAAGGCCAGCTTGAACTGCATAGTGAAACCCTGTCTCCAAAAAAAAAAAAAAAAAAGAAAGAAAGAAAGAAAGAAAGAAAGAAAGAAACTCTCTTTCCTGTATGGCTCAACTTAAGCTACATATCCTTTCTCAACTAGATTCCTGATAGCTCCCTAATACATAGCACTTAAACTCAGGGCAAGATATTTATGAGTGACTTAATTGTCTGAGCCTTTTGAGCACAAAAACTACACTGTAACTGATACTTTTTCTCTCTCCCTGAGGTAGACACAAATAGGCAACTCCCAACCTAACCCTTCCACTGTTTTCCTAAGCAATACTTTAACTACAGACACAAAAAGGGTAGGCACTTCCCTTCCGGCCTGAAGCAGCTCCAATCTTCACTCCTTAAAAGCAGGATTCAAACACACCCCACCTTACTATTACCAAATTATCTAGTAAACTTCCTGGGAAGACAGAAGCCACCAGGTATAAGTTCCTCCATCATTCCTTCTTAGCCACTTCAGTATTATACCTGAACCTTTACCATCCTAACCTCAGTTCTTTCGGAATCTGTGTCAGCCTACACTTCTGCAGTTAATTTCTCTACTCGGTTTTGATTCCATACTCTGAAGTTTGAGATCTTTCTCATCAGTCTTTCTCTAAGGCTTTTTCTTCTCAAAAAATGAGCTCAATCTTTTCTCTGATCATTTATTTTCAAAAACGTATTCATGATCTTGTGATTGGAACTGATTGGGGCAGTGGTGCAAAACTGCAGTCTTGAGTGCTAAGTAGAAATCAGATCTCAGGAGGCCACAAAGAAGAGTGAATTTTATTCTACCTGCAACAGGAAGCCACTGGAGAATCACAAGCAGGAAATAATGGGTTCTGACCATTTTCAAAGCTCAAATATACAAAAACACTTTTTGGTATATGATTAGTTCTAGCTGCGGCTAGAAGCTGTTTTAGAAATTGTTACAGTGTACTTGTTACTTTAAGGTCAGAAAAATTTAAAAGGGCACACTGTTTCAGTATCTGTAATGCCGTATCAAACACATACTACCTTTAAATGAAAGTTAAAAGCACCATGCAGAACATTAGTGTGGCTAACAAACTTGATAAACTATACTTACCTGTTGAATTTTTCCCATTTAGCACGTAAGTTTAGAAATTACCATCACAATTTTACTTCTCAGATTTTAACTTGTAATCCAAAAATTGCAACTCACCGCGACAAGCTTCTTCAAAATCTTGGGTTATGTCCACCCAGCTTGTATTGCTTTTTTCCATTTTTTCAGGGACACTGAGCTCCCATCCTGAATCATCATCATCTACAGATGCTTTCATAACCATTATTACTGTGAAATGAACACTGGTGTAAAAGAGACAATGTAGTTTTCAGGACAAAAATATTTGCAAAACTGTGTGTTTAAGTATTAAGTAAAAGACTTACTAAACCCTTAAAGCAGAATGCTTCTGAGCCTGAGGCTGGTCCTGCAAAAAACTATCTCCATGTAATTAAATCTCATACTAATTAACACTACTGCCCCTCACTTTAGTAAGTGCCCACCACCTTCCGTGGCTCACACATTGCTTTCCTACTATTTAAAAATGAAAAAAATAAATCACAAACCAGTCCGTCACTGGCCTACAACGAACCAACTCCAGAGACTCCAACTTTTAATACTGGCTATGAATGGTCCAGGAGCAGTATTAGGGCGCCCTCTCGCAGCTCAGGATCCCGAGCACCCAGTCCTGAAGTTCACCCATACGGGGACCCTCGGCCGACCCGGGTCGCCGCGGGCGGGGCTGCAGGCGCGCGGCTCAGGGTCGCTCGCGCCGCGGGGTCGAGCGCACCTGGGGCGGGGCCGGGCGCACCTGGGGCGGGGCCGCCACAGGGCCGCCAGGGCCAGCCCGGCGCACCCCGGCCCACGGGGGCGCACAGGGGCAGCGTGTTGCCGCGCCGGAGGAGGAATCCCGGGCCGAGGCCGCCAGGTCCAGAGGCAAGGCCAGGCCTCCGCGGCCGGCGGGCAAGCGCGCCTCCGCCTCCTACCTGAAGCACGGCTGAGGGCCGGGGCCGCAGGGTGACCTGGTGTCCCAAGGGTCTGTACACCGCGGGCGCGGCGAGTCTCGAGCGCCAGAGCCCAGGGGGGCGCCTCGGGGGCTCGCAGGCGCGGTCCCTACCTACTGCTCCCGTGGCCAACCGCGCCGCTGCACACCGTACGGACCACGGAAATAACGACGCTGCTGCCGCTGCCGTGCCACCGCCCCCTCCCCTCTCAGCCTAGTCCGACCGGCCGCGTGCGCGCATGCGTACGCCCGGTGCGCGCGACCCCGCCCACTCTCCCCTACTCCCCGGGACTTCGCGCTCCCCGGCCACACCCCCTTCCCTTCCCACCACCGCCGCTCGGCCGTCATCTCTTCTCGCGGGATTAGAGCCAATTGCGAGACCGGAAGCTCCCTTCCTTCCCCATCCTTAGGTCAAATCTTGGGTAGTGACCGTGTCCCGGAAGAGGTGGATCTTTTTTGCTCTGGGTTTGGAGCTTGTTGGAAAAGGTGAGGCGCCGCAGAAGAAATGGCGGGCTCTCCCAAATATTCCCAGTCGCGGACATGAGAGGCGTTTCCTGCTGCTTGACACCGAGTTTAAGTTTTCATGGTGCTGCCTGGGGGTTTCTGAGGGAAAATAGAAACCAAATAGCTACAGAGCCAAACCAGGCAAGTTCTTGTGGATTCTATTGACTGTTTAGGTTTTTCTTTTTTTAGCCGGAGTAAGACACTGGGAGATGAACTCAGGTCCTCGCGCTTGCCAGGCAGGCGCTGCGTCGCTGTACTAAATCCCTAACCCGATTTTTCTTGAATTTATTAATGATCATTTTTTAGGTGAGGTTTTAAAAAATGGACTGGGTTAGGTAAGAAGTACATCTTGATCACATACTTATTAGAGTGTCTTAAAAGGCAATGCCACGTGCTGGCAAGGACACAAAACAGCTGGACTCGCATCTACAGTTTATGAGTTGCAGAACACTAGTTAGTTTGGGAAGCTGCTGTATTCCTATGCTTATCCTATGATCCAGAAATTCCACTTCTAGGTATTTACACAAATGCTTGCACATAAGTGTTTAAACACAAGTCTTTTTTTATCGGTACCAGGGATCGAACTCACGACTGCCTGCTTGCAAGGCAGGCGCTTAAGCCGCTGAGGTAAATCCCCAGCCCCTGCACATAAGTGTTTACAGCAGCTTTAGTTTTAGTGACTAAAAACTGGAAAAAAGCCCTCATATCCATTAACTGGTAATTGAATAAACGAGATGCGGCCATGCAATGAGATGAGTACTAATTATCAATAAACAGGAATCAATTTCTGGACATGCAACAGGAATGAATCTGGGAAATCCATTGAGGAAAAAAAAGCCATAGAATATTATGGTTCTATTTATATGAAACTTTTAAAAAGCAGATCTTACGTATTGTGACAGAAAATAGATAAATGACTAATTAAGGGGTCCAGAAACGGTTAGTTAGGATAGAACTTGGTGACTTGAAATGATGGAAATAGAGACGGTTAGTGAATACATTTTGTTGTCTCCATGTGAAGCCTCAATAGTTGACTTTTTTAAAATAAAAAATGCCCCCAAACCGGGCACGGTGGCACACATGTAATACCAGCAACTGGGAAGCTGAATTAAAAGTTCCAAACGAGCCTGAGATACATAGTGAGTTCAAGGCCAACCTAAACTACATAGCAAGACCCTGTCTCAACAGCAAAACAAAATTCTCATTAAGCAAAACAGCAGGTTACAAAACCATATATGTGACAGTGCCTGTTTTCTTATTTTTAAAAATGATATCAAGACTATCTAGAATGATAATTTTTTTTTTTTTTTTGGTCTTTTTTGAGGCAAGGTTTCATTATATGGTTCCAGCCGACCTTGAACTCACTTTGTAGGCTGATCTCTTGGCGATTGTCCTCAGCCTCCCAAGTGCTGGAATTACAGGTGTGCACCACTGCTCCCGGTTTAGAATGCTATTTACATAACTTTTGATCTGTTTTGAGGAATAAGATGCTGAGCACATTCTTTGTGATTGTGTTTTTTGACTTCCATTATAAAATGTGAAGTGGAAGACATTAAGACTTGCTGTATGTGAGGTGATGGATATATTAATGAACCTGATTGTAGTAATTAATTATTTCACAACATGTGTATCTCAAAACATGATTTTTGTTTCGTTTGCTTTGAGGGTCTTTTTATGTAGCCCAGACTGGCCTCAAACTTGATGTGATCCTCCCACCTCATCCATCCTACTGCTGGAATTACAGGCATGTGCCACCACACCTGGCTCCTCAAAAGATGATGTTTTGACCTTTAAATATATATAATTTTATTTTATAATTTTAAAATTAAAATTTTATAATTATTTTCAATAAAATAATTATTTTTAAATAGATATATTTTGCCCCCCTTACAAAGTTCCTGAGGGCAGAAATTTTGGCTGTTTTAGTGAAAATTGTACCTCAAACTCAAGGTAATGGTTGACATATAGCAGATACTCACTAAATATATTGAGGATAAAAATGTAGTAAATAATTACAGTAAAACAGCTGTTTTGTCCAAAACTATTTTTATCTTTGCGGAGGCCAAGGCAAATCTAGAAAAATTGAACTGGCTGCCATCTGAATTGTTCAGCGTTAGATGCAGATTGTGGCAATAACATATGACAAAAGAGACCCATTTTAAGGGAAAAAGATTGCTTCAAATGTGTATAACTAAGTAAAACAGTTTAATTTCTGTACTAAAACTATAATTAATTTGAAATCCAAATTCATTTTCATAAGTTCTAGTTATCTGCTTTGAAACCATTTTTTCTGAGAAACAGATTTAACCTGTGATGACATCCAGTCTGTTTCCAAGTATTGGAAAAGTAAAAAGCACATGGGGCACAGATTTTGATGAATGGATGCAAAAGAACTGACATGGATGATCTGCCTAAAGAAGATGCAAAATGAATGTGCTTGGGTTTTTTTGTTGTTGTTTTTTAGTTTGTTTGCTTGTGCTGGGGATTGAACCCAGGATCAAGCAAGCACTTTTCTACTGAGCTTCATCCCAATTCAGTGGACATTTTTTGAGAGAGAGAAACTATTTTCTGCAGTTGTTGTTAGTAAATTAGTAAGTCCTAAAGTTTCCATGTTTAAACACTGTTGAGAGAAACTTTTAACTGGATGTCATCATATTGTATTGAGAGTGGGAAACAACAGTTTGATAAGAGACAAACTACAAGTCAAAGTGAATTTTACATTACACTTTATTCATTTTACCTCTACATAAAACAAATAAAGGATGTTCTAAAGGCAGCTCAGAAAAGGAAACAAAGAATAAAACTATCCTGCTGTATCATAGGACAGATAGAAACAAAGCATTATTTTAAATTATTAAATACCATTAATATTAGCTTAGTAAGTCCTACTGTATTTCCCTTCTCTTTTTTCAAAAGTCTTACCTTTTGAAGTGGAGGTGTGGTGGTTCCTGTCTATTATCCCTGCACTCTGAGAGGCTATGTCAAGAGAAGCTCAAGCTTGAGTACAACTTCAACAATTAAATGACTTAGCGAGATATTATCTCAAAGTAAAAAAGTAAAAATGAGCTTGAGTAGATTGGTGTGAAGGCCCTGGGTTCAATCCTCAATACAAAAAAAAACAAACAAAAAAACCCCACAAGAATACATAGTAATGAGATAGGAAATTGGGGAATGGCAAAGGTGGCTAGGAAATAGGCACGACCTGTCAATTACAAAATCCTGGAATCTGCACGAAACAGTTCCCAAAGCCCAGCGTGTGAACTTTTGTGGGCAAACTTGAGCAAGTTTTCAGTATAATGGCCTAAACCTGATATCAGCCTGAGGCATGGGATCCCAGTGCTGCCTCTCCGGACCCATATGTGGAAGTTCTCACGGGTTCCTCAAGATTTGGACAGTATAAAAGGACAGAGACTTAAGAAAAGCTTGCTATCTTGGCTTTCTTCACAATATCCTGCCCTGTATCCTCCAGGTTGTACTTTTATCTTTCTTTTACTCTTACTCAACCCAAGCTCACTCTGCAGAGTCAGAGTCTTACTCTTCACTCTCACATTTTAAAATAAACTTTGCCACTGTTTTTTGCTAGTTTTGTTCTATCCTTTGAGACAGGAAGAACCTGAAATCTAACTCCAGAAGAGGTGAGCAACCCTAAACCTGGTAACATTTAAAATTGGTGATGGACTTTTAGAAGGAGCTACCCTATGACAGTAATACAATAAAGTTATTTTTAAAAATTAAATTGCTTTCTCCCTGTAAACATTGGGAGGTGGGTATTTTGTCCCAGCAGTGAGAAAAAAGTAACCCAGGCAAAATGTTTCTCTTTTAGGTTCCTCTCTCTAGTGCTTGCTTTATTTTATTTTTTAGGAGGACAGGATCTTGTTGTGTAGTTTAGGCTGGACTTAAACTCTTGGTGTAGCCCAGTTGGCCTCAGATTCAATCTCTTGCCTCAGCCTTCCAAGTGCTGGGATTATAGGCATATGCCACTATGTGCAGCCCCATTTTTCAGTAGGATTATGGATTATTTTCTTACTTTAAAGAGCTCTAAGTTACTTCTGTGATTTAAGTTGCAAATGTCTAAACCAGTGTGTCATCTTTCCTTTTACTTTGTTTTAATATTTGCTGTGTCGAAGTAACAATTTCATCAATAATATCATTTACAGCCAGAAATATGATGATCCTATAAGAAAATGTGGTCCTATAAGAAAATGATGAGATGGCTTCAGTTGATTCCTGAGGCAACTCAACATCTAGAGGTAGTGAAATCTGAGAATAAACAGTGAATCAGTAGGTAAAGC